CCCCCCCCCCCCCCCCAGCCAATGAATCTCAAGGAGAAGTTGGGGGCAGGGCTTCTGATAAACGTTTCCATACTAACAGAGAAACCCAGGCAGAATCAGTGCTTCTTGTGTTGGAGCTTGTCCAGTGAGGATGTATTTCTCAGAACCACGCAGGATAGATCAAAGACGGCTGTGGGGAAGCAGAGCTGGGTCCTGAAGGGCCAGGTCCCAAGCCCTACCTATCCCTGAACTGCTCATTATGTGAGATGATGATTATTGTCGTTTAAGCCATTTTGCAACAAGTTGTCTGGAGCTGGCAGCTAAAGGCTTCCCAACAGATCCAAATTCCTTCAAGATCAGGTTTTCCTCCCCAGCCCGATTCCTGGGTATGGAGCTCAGAATGCAAACTTGATATCCGTTCTCTAAAACATTCTATGCTTGCACATTGCTGAATGGAGCTGTGCAAACATTCCCACCAGGAAAGTAAGTGAATTACTTAAATCACAGCCAGATCTTGATCCTACTGAGATGAGAACCCAACTTGGGATTTCCTGCCTGGGACTCACACCAGCGGGCCTCATTCAAAGAGTCTTCTTTGTATGTCAAAGCACTAGCATCAAGATTAACAGTTTTGAAAAATAAACCTACCTCTTGTTTAAAAAAAAAAAAAAAAAGATTAACAAGTCTTTGCCACCAAGACTGCCTTGATTCTCTTCATGGCATCATCGTCCTTCAAGCATCCAGGCTCAGAATCTTGGTCATGATGGACACCCACCTCCCCTGCCTCTTAATCCAGTCAGTCTTCATGTCCTACTGTTCCCCTCTGGCATATTTTGCTTTCACTCTTTTCCTTTTCATTTCTAGTGCCTCTGCCCTGAAAGTAAGCCTGACTCTCTTGCCTGGACTATTGCAGTAGCTTGCCAGTTTGACTCATTGTCTCCAGAACTTTCCTACATCAAACTATCCCACAGGCTGCTGCCAGTTTAATAATATTTAAACTTTTAAATGACTTAAAGCATTCCTTTCAATGGCTTTACATTGACTGAAAAATGTAAAGAAAAATGTCCAAATTACATAGGTCATACAGGGCTTGCCTGATCTGGCTCCAGTGTGTGATTCTGAGCTACTGACCCCTAGTCTCCTTTCTCCACCAAATTTCCCACTGTTCATTGAGGTTTCCAAGCCCACAGAGGCCATGTGGTGTGTCTGGAAAAGCACATTCTTTGGGATGCTACAGCCCTCAGTGTGAATTATGACTCTACTATTTGCTAACTGCTCTTGGGCAAGTTCTTGTTAAACCTCTCTGAGACTCAACTTCCTGACCTGTAAAGCTGGCATTTCATTCTGCTCTCAGAGGGCCATGGTGAGAAATGAGAGAGACAGTATGAAAACTAGCGAGGATCAGAGCAAATGCATGCAAAGTGCCTCGCACCTTCAAGTTCCACCCATATCCCGCTGCCCAGCTTTGGGCTTGTGCTCATACAGCAGCAATACTCTGTTTCCTGAACTTGACCCTTACTCCAGACCCAGCTCCTGGAGAACCCCCTGATTCCTGTGGTAGGAAAATTCCTGCTGCACCACTAAATGAAAGAGGCATATTATATCTCTTTCATCTAGGTTCCTATTAGTGTGCATAGTAATAATAACTAATATTGACTGCATGCTCACTATGTGCCAGGCACTTTTCTAAGTGTTTTGTGTTTATTACCTCATTTAATCCTCACAACATCATGAGATATTACCATTATTTATCTTCATTTACATTGGAGAAAAATACACCCACAGATAGTTTAAATAATCATTCAAGATCACACACACAGTAGGTGATAAAGCCCGACACAAAGCCCAGAAGTCTGACCCCAAAGCCTAGTACTTAACCATTAAGCTATGTTGCATTCTCTCTGCTAGTGGAGACAGAACTAATTTCTTATTCTATCTAATCTGGGGACCTGCACAGAACAGGGGGGAAATTAAATAGTGGATTCACTGACATCTCCCCCTCCAAAAGCCCCAGTCCCACCCTATTTGCCAAGGCCCACTCAGAGACACCTGAAAGACTCCCACCAACTCTCTCCATCTGGATGTCCTGCAGGCACCTGTCACTCAATAGGCCACAAACTTCATTCATTCTCTTCCCCTCCAAATATGTTTTTCTCCTATCTCCATGGAGATCTCAACAGCATCTCCATCCATCCAACAACCCAGACTGGATGCCTCAGAATTATTTTAACTCCTGCCTCTTGCTTGCCTCCCAAATTCAATTACTGTCTGAATCCTGTATATTCTATCTTCTACACAGCTTTTAATCCATTTCCTTCTCTTTGGTTCTACTATCACTATGCTAACCTAGTCTCTCAGTAACTCTCAGCCTTACGATGACAAAATGAATATATGATGACTTCATTTCTGATGAGGCAATTCTAAAAATGTTCTTTTCATAATGGTAAAATGACAAACCTTTGGGATTTATGGAGTATATTTCTTCTTAAGAGCGGAAAACATTTTTATTATGGATTATCTGTTCACCCTCCCCCAGATCACTGAGCAGCAGGGAAATATTAGTAACGAGCAGCATGTGGTTGACGTTAAGAGAAAAGTGTGCTGAGCAAGGGACGCTGCACTTCAGGGGGCACAGACTCCTGGCCTGGAAATCCACCTCCACCTTCCAGCTGTGGGAGTCTGGGCAACCTGCTTATCTTTCTAAACCACAGCATCCTTTTCTATAAGATGCAGCTAGCAATAGTACTTACTTCAGAAGGTTATTCAAGGATTTAGTGAGAAAACCCACTTGGAGGGCGTTGTGTAAAGCCTGGCTATTGGGGATGCTCAGTGTTATCCATTAATCTTATAAAATATGACCCCCGACCTGGGAGGTCACACTGTTGACCTCAGGCAGGGCAAGGAATTCCTTAAGTCCTACCCCCGTGTCCAATTCATAACAATGCTTCGCTCGTCCACAGAAGGAGTTCCTTTCCTTTCAGTCTAGCTCAGTGCTGCACATAAGAATCACCTGGGGAGCTTTACAGACTGCTGGTGCCTGGGCCCACTCCAAGAGCTCTGATTCATTGGGTCGGATGCAGCCTGAGCACTGGGACTGTAAAGCTCCCCAGGTGTTTCTCATGTGCAGTCAAGGTTAAACCACCCTCGTTTCGACCAGGCTTGGGTGCAGGTGTCCACCCAGTCATAGGAGTTGCTTCAGAGCAGAGGGGGCTTCTGTGGGTAGGAGAAGGGGCATGGCCCTTGTATTCTAGAGAAAATCACTGGACCTGCAGGAGACACAGCGGAAGTGTGAAAGGAGCAAGACATCAGCTACAGAAATTTAGAACCTAAGTCAAGGTTCTATTTGTTCTGTGACTGCAAAATTTGCCAATTTTTCATCAAGATACAAAATAAAAGCTAAAAGACAGCCACTTTGACATTTTGGTGTGATTCAACTGTTGATGGCATGTTAATGCCACTTCATGGAGGCACTGACCACCATGGGATCAGGTGATCCCGTCCCACCATCTCCCACAGGTAGGCTCAGAGACTCCTCTGGGGAGAAGTGAAACCCAGGGTAACATTTTGACACTTACCTGGTTGATATTGAAAGTCTTGGCCTTGTTAAACCTTGTAGAACCTTTGAGCAACATTAGAAAAGGAGGTTTGTTTAAACTGCAATCTCCCAGGGACACGTCTCTTTTGGTAGATTTACTAGCCAAATCTAGGACTTCAGGACTCTGTGATAACCTGGAAACGAGGGCAAAATGGAAGCTGCTGGAAAACTCTGACACATGGAGGAAGACCCAATGGTAGAGAGAGCTCATTTCAAAAATCCACATTCTTACTGTCGTGGTTCCTAGGTAATCTTTCATTTCTCACTATATTTCATATCTAGAAGCCAGCAGAAGGGTTTGAGAAACTTTTAGTGAGTTGGATTGTGGCAGGATTGTGGCAGGATTGTGGGAGGGCCAGAATACTATAGTTCTTTCCTTGGAATGGATGTCATATAGAAATATGAAAATAAAATATGCACAGAGGGGAAAGATGGGCACTAGATGGTAAAAAATGATGGTAAGACATCAAGAAACCTCAGAGGGGAGTTAATGGAAGGATTTATCTACCTACATTTGAGTAGGAAAATCTCACAGACATATTTGCTTTATTTCATGACTGCTGTCTGAGACTTACATTGGCAGAAAGCTGGTGCTAACTACCTCGTGTCTTCTCCATCACTCCCACTTCCTGCTCCAATCACTGAACTAGATGTTCAAGGAAAATGTTTCAGCAACCAGGAGGGGAATAAGAACCTGGAGCCTCAGCCTGGCCAAAGAGGTCAGTGCCCAGATAGATGGGAGGGATGATGGCACCATTATGGCAGCTGGAAAGTTCCAGCCTAAGCTTCATGGATAGCACCCAACCCTCCCTGTGACCTAAGGAAGAGTACACCTATTATTTAAAAATGATCATTTTGTATCGAAAGAAAAGATTTACACACTTGCATTGAGGCACCAAGCTCTACTCTCTCTACTAAAAGTCAAATTCCATGTTGCGGTGACATGGTTTCCTAGCACTGCACTGATCCATGCAATTCCTTGGCCTTGAAAAACAGTTAGCTCACCTGGTTAGAATGCAGCCTTGTAAGACCAAGGTCAAGAGTTTGGTTCCCTATAGCCAGCCAGCAACTGTGGCAAGCTGGGTAAATCTAATTGTACAATCTTGATTAAAATGAAATAAAGTTTCCGTGCAAATATTTTTCAGGGCCATAGTCTGAAAGATCACTTTAACTAGACATATTCCAAGGTTTTGTGCCAAACCTCTTCCTTCAAAAGGAGGAGGGGCTCAGGAGTTTTTTGCTGGTTTGTTTTTTAGTGTGTATATCTTGCTAAAGAGGGTGTTTTGAAAGCTTGTATTAGGAGAGCCTCATGCAGCATCTGCTGACATGTGACTTTGCTAAGGGGGCCAGTGAGATGCCCTTTATGCGAGCAGGCTGTTCTCATCAGTCACCCACAGAGGAAAGATCACCCACCTCTGGATAAAAACATTGCTGATACAACCCTCAAAATGACTCCCGCCCAGACGTAGAGATTGCAGGGAATTTGCAAAGCCTTGAAGCCTTTGGTTGTTTCTCAGAGGCCCGTCATCAATGAGAAGCCGGAGTCTGAAAGAGAAGGGAAGCAAACCAGGGTGAGAACTGCTGGGAAAAGGCTTTTGCCATATGGGCAATTTATTGTCTTTGACCTGGCTCAATAGCTGTTAGCTGAAATAACTAGTAAAACTAGACTTATTTCTTTTTTTTTTTTTTTCCTTTTTGTCTTTTTTTGTGTCTGGCAACGGATCGCAACCCGCAGTGTTGCGCCCGGACCGGACCGGGACCGGCAACGGGATCGCAACCCTCGGTGTTGCTCCCACACCTCGCTCAGCCAGTGAGCGGGAACCGGTCTGTATGTGGGATCCGAACCCTCGGTGGGAGCGCCACCACGCTCCCAAGCAGCGCACTGTAGCATGCGCCACCGGGCCAGCCCGAAACTAGACTTATTTCTAAAGAGCATTTAATTTTTTTTCTTTTTGCACATAATATTTTTATTAGAGTATTGCAAATGAACAGAAACTGCAGATATTGTAAGTGTTCAGCTCAGTGAATTTTTGCAACATAAATACACCAACATAACCAGTGCCTAGATGAAGAAACGGAACAGATGAGCATCCTAGAAACCCATCTTGTGCTCCATTTTAGTCTCCAACATCCTTCTCTCTCCAAAGGTAACCACTCTCTGGAATTCTGATAGAATAGATTAGTTTTGCCTGTTTTTGAACTTTATATTAATGAAATCATGGGGGATGAACTCTTTTACGTGTGACTTCTTTTGCTCCACATCATGTTTGTAAGGTTTGTCCACATCATCATATATAGTTCTAGATCCTTCTTTTTCATGGCTATATAGTATTCCATTTTGAATACACCATTATTTATTTATCCATCCAACTGTTGATTTATTTTTTTAATGAGGAACTTAATATAGAACAAAGAAGGCAGCCAAGACTTACTAGTAAAATAGTTTCAGCATCAAGGACAAATATTTTGTTAGCGGATAACAGAAAATTCCATTAAGCTAAAGTAAAACTCCCACGGCTCTGGCAGAAGCACCATTACACTCACCCAGAGTTGTCACTTATCACAGACACATAGTGCAGTAGACCATCCATGTACGTCTGTGGAGACTTAAAAATTGGGCTGCTGCTGTCCCTGGTGCTCAATTCAATGTGACCATCTTCCAGTGTGACCTGCAGGCTACTTGTCTGAAATCACCATAGAATATACCCATCAACACTTAATTTGCACTTAAAGATTTTATGGATGTATCAATACTGAATTTATGACCAAAACCATGTATGAAACAGTCAGGATGTTCTGACCCAAATGTTCTGAGTTTGCCATTTTGATCCAAAGATTATTTTTTAATATTTTGACTCTATGTTTATGAATATAAAAACCTTACGCAAATTATTTCAGCACTGATGAATGTGTCAAAATCATTTTTCTGGACCTACATTTATTAAGCCAATTTAATTTCTCAATCAGTTATACAAACCAGTTAAACTATTTCTGAATGTTTCTATTTTTACTTTTATTTTGCTGAAGTTATTTCCACCAGGATCAATTCCCTTCTGAATAAATTTTACAGCAAAGACTTGATTCATCAACTTTTTTTCATATAAGAGTATAACAATGATTTCTTCTCTTTAGTCATTATGAATTTTTTATTTTATGGTCATTATTTCTAGAAGTCCAATTTTCCATGTCAAACTCTGCAGATCTAAATTTTGACAAGATGAGTTGACTCTTCCTATTATTTATTAAAAATGTGCCATTTCAGCAGTTATTTCAGTTTTGTTCATGTTTTTTCCTACCAAGTAAAATTTCTACGGTTTTCAACAAAATGTGATTCTTTGGTGAGCTTTTAGTCTAACACAATTTTTACAGTGTGTGGTTACAGCCTTTGTTGGTTTTAATTTGTGTTGATTTTTTTAAAAAAATTGGCAATACTCATTATGAATTGGATAGAAGAATGCTAATTTATATATATTTCTTAGCTAACCTAACCCATTATGAAATTGAGGGCAATGTCCCTAGGATATTTCTAAGACTCCTCCATTATCCAGGATTGATCTAATCTTTTGCTAACCCAGTTCTTCCACCTGCTTTTGATCATTTTGCGTATTATGTACTAAGTGTTCCTACATGTGACAGAGGAAACAAGAGTTAAGCGTCAAAACAGCTAGGTCAAAACATACTGCCCTGGGCCGGCCCGGTGGCGCACTGGAGAGTGCGCCGCTTGGGAGTGCGGCAGCGCTCCCGCCACGGGTTCGGATCCCATGTGGAGACCAGTTCCCGCTCACTGGCTGAGCGTGGTGCGGGCGCAACACTGAGGGTAGCGATCCCGTTGCCGGTCCCCGGTACGGGCGCGACACCGAGGGTTGCGATCCCGTTGCCGGTCCCCGGTACGGGCGCGACACCGAGGGTTGCGATCCCGTTGCCGGTCCCCGGTACGGGCGCGACACCGAGGGTTGCGATCCCGTTGCCGGTCCCCGGTACGGGCGCGACACCGAGGGTTGCGATCCCGTTGCCGGTCCCCGGTACGGGCGCGACACCGAGGGTTGCGATCCCGTTACCGGTCAGTAAAAAAGACAAAAAAAAGGAATAAAAAAAAAAAACAACATACTGCCTTGATGGAAAAGCCACCCCCACAGTCTAAGTGCTGGTATGTGCTTCTCTAGGATTAGTTTTTTAAAAAAATGATCTCAAAAGGCTGGTGAGCAAGATATCAAGACAGGAGAGGCCTTCCTGATACCGTATAGCCACAGAGTCATCTACCATCTGTTCTTTTAAGAGATACTAGACGCTGTTGTGTTCTGCAATCCTAAAGAAACAAATCCAAAATGACAGTATTCTACCTCTACTCCTGTTTTAAAATTCCACTCCATCCACAAGGGGATTTCTAAGTATTAGTTGACTTCTATACCCATATAACCACACTAGCTAAATCCTCTTCAGTTATAGAGGGTACCTCCTTGAGAAGAGAATTTCTGTGGCTCTGTTGCACATGAGGAAAGAGCAAAGGATTTTTTTTCTTCTATTCCCCAGGTGTAATTATTGTCCAACTAGCTACTGCAGAAAAGGCATCTGGAGAGCTATTATTTGTATAATCAAAAGGAATAATAGGGATACATTCTGATTTCTTTCCCTTAGATCTAAAAAACTTTACATTATTACTTATAACAGTTATAATTCACCTTAACTCATAAAATATACATGAGAAAAATGAAAATGAATCCATATATGCACACAAATTTAGTTCTGTAAATTATAACATACTTTCTAAACCTGATTTCTTTTAGGGAAAGATGGGGAATAACTTTCATTGTTTTCAGGATAGGAAATAATTTTCATGGTTGAACCATACCGTAGCATTTATTGTGATGATAGACAAAATGCCCAACTACATTACCTTCAAAAATCTCTCTATTGTTTTTGACATCAAACTTTGAGTCAGGTTTAAATCTTGTTCAATATTAATGCATTATTTCATACCCGTGTCTGATGATTTAATAATATGCCACTGGGCTGAAATGTCTGAAACCCAAATGAAGCCTGGAAGTGGCTGGGCATTGGGAAGTCCAAATTAGTGAAACTGAGTTGTCCTCCTCTGGAGAAGGAGGCAGATCGCACAAGCTGAAAGGCAAACATGGAATAAATTACTGTCACTGTAATCATTTCATGGCTGAAATACGGTATCTTACTCTATGTCACTTCACCCGAACCAATCAATGTGATTTAAGCCTCAGAAAGAGAGTTTGCTTTTAAGTATAATAAGTTACCAATCATCTGTAAGATTTTGTGTGTATACTTGGTATTCCTACTTTCCTGTGAATTTAATATGCAAACCTGAAAAGGTTCTGTACCTTACAAGTACTTGGGAAGTGTATATGAGCTAGTTCACTAAAATACTGTGTGCTGCCAGAAAAAAGTCAAAAGTTGATGTGTAAATGGGTATGATGGGTTTATTGGAAGCATTCCTTTGCAAGGTTCTGAACCCTTCTCTTACCTTCCAGTCTTCTGCGCACTTTTTGGTGACTCCCACAGTATCATTCAATCTAACAACACCACTGGTTTTCTTCAAATTTTTCATGCAGCCTCGGAAAGCAGGTGTAGTAATGTTAAACCTGATCAGGGATACAAAAATGAAGAGATGGATCATGAGATCCATGAGATTCCTATAATACTACTCATCTGATGATGCTGGGAAAATCTACTTCCTCTCTGTATGGGTCTGCATTCCCAGATTTAAATTAAAAAAGCAGATACTAATGTTGACAGAATGGTCACTGTCCCCAAAAGGTATGGAGACATAGCAGATGCATGATATCTACAACTGTCTATCCCCAGCCCCCAGAGTCATGCATTGCATGGTGCATAGGTGTGTGGTACTATATATAATATAAATATATTAACAAATTAATAGTTTATAAGAACCTGGAATGCTCTAGATAACTATTTGCTCTTTTTTTTTTTTTCCCCCCTGTTTACTCTTAAGTTTAGCCACTGTAAATTCAGAAAAAAACTAAGTGTTACTTTTTGGTTCTATTCAATTATGAAAAATGTGGCTTGACTTAATGCCAAACTGAAACAATGGAAAGTGTTGTTTGGGTTCATATGCTATGTCTACCACCTCCTGATTGTGCAACCTGGACAATGGGTTCTTGTGAGGATTAAACAAGTAAAGACACAGGAAGAGCTTGGAACAGTGCATGGCAAAAGGGCATGAGCGCTCACAAAATAGAGCTGCTCTAGAGCTGTGGGCTTGGGAGCCAGGCTGCCTAGGTTCACATCCTGCTCCTGCTGCTTCAGCAGGCAGCTGAACTTCTCTGTGATTCTCTTTCTTCTTTTATACAATGGGAATATGTTCATCTGTTTCATAGGGTTGTCATGAGTTTTAAAAAGTTAACCTGCGTAACACACTCAAACGGTGCTTGGTACAATGCAAGGACTCAATGTGAGATGGTAGGGTTAATAACTATCCCCATATGGCTGCCATTATTATGAAATAGCCATTTCAAAAGCAGCTCTTCCTGCGTGGTGCCTTGGTAGTTCCCCTTTGATTTGACTTCTGGGTCTGTCTGGAGCTGAATTCACAGAAAGCATCAACACACATGAACTGACTGATGTCCAGGCAAATATTTGTGTTTCTTAAACAAATGATCTACTAAGAAAACCCAAAGCTGATTTCATTATAATTCCCTAAGGCAGCTCACTTTGCTAAATGGAAAGGTGTCTGCATTCATTTTAATCCAATTCATTATAAACAGTTGAGCTACATGTAATATGCATAAAATTAACTTTCATTAAAAGGAAAAGGAAGAAACAAATTCTCACTGGCATTGCAGCATAAGCTTAATTATTTTATAAAGATGGCTTTTTGCCTCAGAAGAGGAGGAAAGTTTATTTTAATTCCTGGAGCTTGTCTATTTATACATATTTTTAGATCGACTCCCTCTTGGGTTTCAACAGTCTCTTGGACATCAAGATGCCCTGATGTCTCCCTCTCTTAATAGGATGTGGGTCAAAAGAAGGGGGAAGTGGCAGAAAAGGAAAAGAAGGGAAAGAAAGGCGGTTAATAGATACACAGCACCTATTTTGCTCAAGGTAATATTACTTCATTCTTACAATAACCTCAAAATTGTGATTATTTCCTCATTTGGAAGTGATCATGACTTCTTCCTGCAGAGCAAGTTATTTACAGCAGAGGTGTTAAAATGGAAGATTTATTTCCATTAGTCCTTGGGTTTCTTGCTACCCTGGCTTTCCCCAGAGTAGACTTGCACATTTACTCCAGGATACAGGGCCTCAACGTGCTTGCTAAAGGAATGTGATTGCGTGGGGGTGTAAGTTGCTGTACTGATGAGTTCCTGTGCTGGGGAATGTAATGTATACTCTGGGCCAATCTGTCCACAGATGCTTAGCCAGCTCCGTGGCTGTGTAGGCAGATTTCAGAGAGCAATAAGAATAAAATGTAATCCTAAACTCACTGTTGGGTACTTAGTAAATGTTCAGTAGATCCTTGACTGATTTTTACTTTTCAAATTATTTTCATTTTAATCTTTTATTACTATACTCTGTCACACAATGGTGCAGGTCCTCAGGAAAAATTTCCTTGTTGGTGTCAGACCTTCTGGCATTACCAGGAATAATTTGCTCTTCTCCTGGGAAGCAGATGGGATTAACAGACTGTGATTTCTGACTATAATCTTTTTTTTTTTTTGTCTTTTTCCGTGTTCGGCAACGGATCGCAACCCTCAGTGTTGCCCCTGTACTGGACCGGGGACCGGCAACGGGACTGCAACCCTCGGTGCTGCGCCCGCACCTCGCTCAGCCAGTGAGCGGGAACCGGTCTGTATGTGGGATCCGAACCCTCGGGCGGGAGCGCCGCCGCGCTTCCCAAGTGGCGCACTATCTAGTGCGCCACCGGGCCGGCCCTCTGACTATAATCTTAAACAAGTCATTCCAATATCTGGGTCCCCATTCCCAGAAGATACACTACAGTGAGAGGAGAAAACACAAAACACCCACAAAATCCCTTGAGCAAAGCTGTTGACTGATTACACGAGCTCGCTTTGTGCCACACTGGGTCTGAGCACTTGGTCTATAAGGGTTTTCCATTGATGCCAGGGATCGGGACACCTCCCTCATTTGGAAGAGTTGCCTGGTTGCCCCTACAGAGCTAAATTGCTAATTGATGATGATATTAAATATTAACATCATCTCTTTGGTTCTCACATCTTCACTTATAAAATTCAGGGGTTACATACCAGGATCTGCAAGGTCCCTTCCAGTTCAAACAATCCAAGGAGAAAAGACATTCATCCCCAAACTCTATTAAAGTGCTGAGCTTTCCCACCTGTAACCCTGACAATTCTAAAACAAAGATTAATGCCTTTTTACTAGGGATGGACAGATGCCCAGGTGTATAACAATTCTAGAAGAAAGAATACATTTGCACAGCACCTTATAAATCACATCTAGTACTCCTTCCAACTGATTTATAAATTAGAAAGGGTTAACTAGCTTCAGAGCTCATATAAAAGTAATTATAATCAAACACCCTGGGAGTACTCTTAACTTAGTCAAGAGGCTCTACTAACCCTTCCAGGATATCTTCTTTTCACACATTATCAGCTATCTAAAATGCCTTTTTGGAGGACACAAACAAATTAACAAAATGTAGAAGTTATTTTTAAGTGCATTCTCAAAGTGGTAGATTTTTTTTCTCATTCAGATTAAGCTTTACTGCCTTTCGAATTAATTTAATTCATTCATGTGTTCATTCATCCAAGGAGCAGTTATGTACCTTTTCCACACTCAATAGAATGTAAGGGGCAGGTAAGACCTGAGACATATGAATGTGAATGAGACATAGTGCAATGAGTCTTATATTTTTTTTTTTTTTGTCTTTTTTCCGTGTCCAGCAACGGATCGCAACCCTCAGTGTTGCCCCCGTACCGGACCGGGGACCGGCAATGGGATTGCAACCCTCGGTGTTGCCCCCGCGCCTCGCTCAGCCAGTGAGCGGGAACTGGTCTGTATGTGGGATCCGAACCCTCGGGCGGGAGCGCTGCCGCGCTTCCCAAGTGGCGCACTATCCAGTGCGCCACCGGGCCAGCCCGAGTCTTATATTCTTTGAGAGACTTCTTAAAGGTGGCAACCCAGCTTTTAGTGCACAGTGCTGTCGAGGCATGGGTCGCCTGCACTCTCCTACACTGCCTTTAAGGGCCTAGAGCCACAGCCTCTGTTCTGCTTGTTGGCAGCAGTGTCAACCCAACTATATTCTTGTGGTTTCTCTCCTTCCAAGAATGACCAGCCTCACTATCCAGTATTTACAATCTGTTTGACTCCATTTAACACTGTTAATACTGAAAAATTACCTTCCTGTGTTTGTTTGTTTTTGGAATTAAACAAGATAGCCTAGATTTATCGGTAGCAATCACAACCATTAAGAGAGGAAATCTACTCTTTTTTGAAAAAAAAAGAAAAACCCCAAAAACCATATCGTCTTACCTTTCCCTGATTGCAATTGGGATTCCTCCTAGATAATATGTACTAAAATCAAATATTTCACCTTCGATTTTAATGTTTTGAGAATTCACATTTATCCGCATAAGTTTTTGGGCTTTTCCAATTTTGATCAGAATCTGAAATAAATGAAAGAAGAATCAGCAAGCAACGGGAAACAAAAGAATGCTATCATGGTGGGTCAGCGCTATTAAGTTCTTATTTGTCTCCCTTCAGATTCATTTCTATAGATAGTAGGAAGACTCTGAGCAGTAGCATTTTTGGACAAAAATATGATACTAAGACATTTTAATGGATATGTTTGCAGTTGAAATTAACCATGTTTATATATGTTATATATTTTATGCCTAAATGCTCAAATTTTAAAAGGACATGTCCCTCAGTTAATAACTATAAATTCTTCTGGTAATAGAAATGGTTTTTGTTTTTTTTTCCCACTGACTTAATTTTAAAAGACTAAGGACATTTAACAATTCAAGTAAACAGACTCAAAGGATATACCGAATGATCTTTCCCGTTGTTTATGATCTCTCTAATTCCTTTTTCTTTTGGTGGCTCTGAATTCAGTTTGTATCGTACAACAATATTGCCATCTTCTATATCTAGAGATATGAAGCGGTCCTAGAGTAAGGAAACAACGTAGATTACCAGAAGAGTCTACTGAAGAAGAGCAAGAATGTTGTGACTTATTACTCTCAAGTCACAAATTGCTCTCAGCTCCAGCTGCCTACTTCATTAACAGGGATAGTACGGCTTGATATCTAACTCATGGGATGGGTGTGACGATTAAATATTCTAAGTCATGTTAAAAGGGCATGCACAGTGAATGCTAGCTATTATCATGACTCTGTGTCACATGATCCATAACCAGCATGCAAGAATGGAAACAGAAGATACAGACCATAAATGTCACTTGAAAATATGACGGCTGCCTTTTGGAGAGAGATAGGGTCTTACTTAAACCCCAGGCATTTTCCACCTCTGTTTTCTGATATATTCCTACGTCTCAGCCTCATCTACTGGCTCATCCCCTTCTACCTTCCATTTTAGAGTTGGGGGTTCCTTGGGGACCCCGCACAGGACTCCTTCCTCCCTCACACCATTCCCTTTTCCTCAACAATCACAGTGATCCCTGTGGTTCCAATTCAGGTGTACCCAATGAAGCCCAAATGCTTCTCTCCAGCCTCAACCTGTCTTCTCAGGGCCACGTCTGTCTGTCTGGCTGCCTTACTGCTATTGCTATGCTATTGCTTGCATGACCTCCAGGCACCTCAGCTGCAGAATATCTGATGCAGCACACATGATCCACATGCCTCCCACATGCTGCCAAGACTGTCTCTCCTGCCCTGACACTGCGTGCGTGCTCTCCCTCCCCCACTCCTTTGATCACCGGACTGAGGAAGCTACAAACCTAGGAGTCATTCTCAATTCTTCCCTCTCTCCCATCTAATCACATCTCGTGAGTTCTGCCATTTCTTAACTCTCTCTCCATTTCATCCCACCTAGTCTCAGCCACAACGTCTTCAGCCTGACTGCACAGCAATAAGCCACTGGTCTCCTTGTGTCCTCTCTGTCCCCTCTCAAATCCATTTTCCACTTGCAGCCAGAGCAGTCTTTTGAAAATGCCAGTGTGAGCACATTACTTTCCTTTGCTTTCAGCCCTGAGTCCCCAGCAGGAGCTGCAAGGCCCTGGCCATCTCTTCAGCTTCATTTACCAGCACTCCCTCTGGCTCTTGGTGCCCCAGACACACAGGCCACCGTTCTGTCCCTGAGTGCTCCCTGCCCTTCCCACCCCCAGGCCTTCTTCACCCCCCTCCCCCTGCCTCAATTCCACTTCTGTCCTGTCCCCTTCAAATGCCATCTTCCACTTGTCCTACAGGTGTCAGGTGAAGCATCCTTTCCTCAAGAAAGTCTTTTCTGTTTGCTGTGATTTCAATGTCCCCCCAAACTCACTGACACTTGACCCCATTGTAACAGTGCTAAGAGGGTGGGAAATCTGATTATGGCATTTGAAAAGTGAGGCCTTTAAGAGGTGATTAGATTGTAAGGACTGTGCTCTTGTGAATGCATCAATCCATTCATGGAATAATGGGCTTGGTTCTGAGGGTTTTATAAGGAGAGTAAAACCCTTATAAAAGGTTTTGCTCAGCCCATTCTTGCCATTCGACACCCTGTGTCTTTGTAGAGAGTCACCACCAGAAAGAAGGCTACCACCTGATGTGTTCCCTGAACTGTGGACTTCCCAGCCTCCAAAACAAATTTTGTTTCTTTACAAATCACCCAGTTTCAGGTATTCTGTTATAAGCAACAGAAAACAAATTAATACAATGTTATACATCCTCGTTTCACCCCCAATTTTTCATCTATACCACTCCTCACAGTTGTGATGAATTAACCTATTAACAGCACACCTTTGTTTTACTCCTGTCTTCCTCTCTAGAATATAAGGTCCTTGAGGGCAGGAACCATGTCCATCTTGATCATTAGCACATCCCCTTCATGGCTTGATAGCTCATTTCTTTTTAGAGCTGACTTATATTCCATTGTCTGGAAGTACCACTGTTTGTTTATCCACTCACCTATGGAAGGACATCTTGGTTGCTTCCAAGTTTTGACAATTATGAATGAAACTGCTATAAACACCTGTGTGCAGGTTTTTGTGTGGGTGTTTTCAACCCCTTTGGGTAAATACCAAGGTGTGTATTTGCTGAATTATATGGGATGGTGAGAGAATGTTTAGTTTTGTAAAAAACTGCCAAACTGTCTTCCAAAGTGGCTATAAAATTTTATATATTCGAGTATATTCATATATTTGAATCAGCTATTTCCTTAATGGGAAGACAAGCTGAGGAATTTCTGACTAGACCTTGAAGGCTTTGTTGCTGAATTATATGGGATGGTGAGAGAATGTTTAGTTTTGTAAAAAACTGCCAAACTGTCTTCCAAAGTGGCTATAAAATTTTATATATTCGAGTATATTCATATATTTGAATCAGCTATTTCCTTAATGGGAAGACAAGCTGAGGAATTTCTGACTAGGCCTTGAAGGCTTTGCTCTTGCACAGTCTCCTAACGATAGGAAGGCCTCTCTTTGAAGTCCAGGGCTCTACTTAAAGGGAAAATCAGTCCTTCTCTAGATCCTAAGCCCTGTCCTTGGGAGTGGGGTTAGGGATTATCAGCTCATAAACAACAGTAACACCGACTCACTGAAAGCAATGAACCATTGTACTTAACAGCAGCTCTCTGGATCATTTCTTATGTAATGGCATTATGTAAGTTTTATTCTAATATAAGGAGTATTTCTGGTTCTTAGTCTCCAAGAACTTCAAAATGTTATACAAAGAATACCTTGTTTTGGACAACCACCACCTTGCCTGAAGATGCTGTATGACTTTCAACTCTCTGCATGCTTCAGGCTGGTTGGGACCTTCCCAAACCATCACAACTGGGTCAACTTTGGAATCTCCTGAAGGGTCCAGACCAACCCCAGAGAGGACTGTTGTACCAGGTCTGTGTCCCCACCCTGCAGATAGAAGGGTCTACTAAAGTCCCAAGCTCTATATCAACCCATGTTCTCAGACCAGAGAGCCTATGGGCTGGTCCACATTTCTCCAGAAATGCTACCTGTGAGAGAGACTACAGAGGCTCCTAGTTTCCTCTGGAGTATTCAACTCAAGGCCCATGTAGCAAGAGCCAACATCGCGCCAACTCTCCATTAACCAGCAGAAGGCGCTAACTATCACTTGCAGTGTCACTTTGAACTTTTCTAACCTAATGGATTTAAGAATGGTCCCTAGGAATCCCAGCTGCTTGAATGTGGAGAAGCTTCCTAGTCTTGGAAAGTCGAGCATCAGGCTGAGAAAATCCCACACAGCCTGGCTAGAGTCAGAACAAGATAGAAACAGCAGGAAGTCAAACAGTCTAGATCTCAGAGACCCCGGAGGTCTTCACATGTTTTGAGGCAGATTAAGTAGTTATTCGTTGAGCAGTAGTTTCCAAAGAATAAAACTGACAAAGAGAATAGAACAGGAAAAGGGGAGATTCCTCCCACATTTTGGTGGCATGTTCTCAAATTCTTGATTACTAGCCCTCATTAAAACACACACTCCCAGCTAATGGAAAGAAAGTACATGGAGCCAAGGAAAAAGATGCTGGTTACATTTGCACATGGTGTTTCACATCTAATTGGTTGTTTATAACAACCCACATCCCCAAACTGCTAAATTGAATGGAAATATTTGGTAATATTTGGATGCTTATTACAGATTACCTGGTTTTCTGCAAAGAAGAGCAAACCTCTGTCCACGGTGGTCTGAATTGTCTGTCCAAAGGTTGGGATGGGAGCATTTGGCTGAGTTGGAACACGAGCATAGCCTGTGCCTTCAAAATAATTTTTGTCTGACTCTTCCTTTCTCCTGTCAACATCAACCATCATATGTTAGAACACAGCAGCAAAGGACTACCATGTAAGTGTGCTTATTAATACAAGATGCTGCCATCTGAAAAACGGAGTAAAGAATATGCAGCCTAGTTGTCACTATTTTGCTAAAGAGGAAACATTTTTCAAATGTTAAAACAGCAAGCCTTTTCTCCTTGATGTGCCCTTATACTCTATGAAAATCAAACCCTGGCTCAAAAAAGATGATATTCAGGAGTCCCTTTTGGAAATGTCTACTTACAAAGATGTGGCCTATAAGCTGAGGATCTTAATGTAAGAAATTATTAACTTGAAATATAATTTGATTCTGGGTAACAAATACTTGGTTTGTCTCATGTTAGACTATTCCAAATCCTTTTAATTGTAGGGAAGATTAGGAGCTCAAAGCAGCAATTTTCAAATAGGTCCAGGTGGTAGAGTACCTAGAAAGTTATGGTACACTTGTGGACCGCTATTTTTTTAAATTTACAGTAAATATATAGTTGTGTGCCTAAATCAAGTACCATCAAATATTGACTACTTTGTGGCAGGAGGCACCAAAAATTTAAGAAAGATTTATTTTTTAAAAAATTGAGAAAATTCTATTGATCTAATATTTTATACAAATTAGGAAAAGACTGCCATTATTAGATTTTAGGGATGGACTGCCAGTGTTGCATGTAAGCATAACTGAAGAACTACTGGCTTAAAACAACCAGCAACATCACCAGCATATTCTGGCCCCTCACTTTGTTACATAAAACCCCAGTTACAGAGATACTAGTTTCCAGATTTTATTTACCTTCTACAAGGCTCCACTTCAGTTGTGTTGAGATTGAAAGTTTTCTTGAAGTTGTACAAGCTCAGAACATTTTCATTGAGGTCATCTAATTCAATGCAACCTTTGTATGGAGGGAATCTTAGTCTACTGGGAAGCTGAAAATGAAACAAAACGAAAAAAATCTTCCATTAATTGAACAAAGGGCAGCGATCAGGTTGACAAAAAAGTAATATAAATCTATCACTTTTAACAGTCAACATAACATAAGGGTTAAGAATGTACATACTGGAGCCAGGTGCCCTGGCTTTGCTATTTACTAGCTGTATGACCTTGGACAAATTATTAAACTTCTCTGTCTCAGTTTCCTCATAAGTAAAATGGTAATAATGACACTTTTTAAAATTAATATACTTAAGCTTAGAACACTGCATAGAACTACTCAGTGTTAGCTGTTATCTCTAGATGTGCTTTAAGAATATACAGTAAAACCATTTTATATATAGTTAATAATTGAAATAGAAACACGAAGTCATTATACCAAATTAAAATTGAAATATTTTTACTCAGTGAAATAATATTTATACTTACTTTAAAGTCAGATGGGTAACCTCCAACGTAAAATACAACATTCTCAGGATCCAAATTAAGGAGTGTATTGCTATTTCCACTATCCATGTCATGAAATTGGGGTGTTTCTGATTTACTGGATGTGGCTCCTTTGGTGTAATTAAGCCTTGCAAACTGATAAATTCTGTTGAAAAAGAAATTAGACAGAAAGGTAAATGAAAAAATTCAAAGCCAAGCTACTAAAAATGGGGCTCAGCAACACGTATGAATGGAAGAGTGTGGTGAGCATAGGTCAGGTTCACAAAGAGCAACTGTCAATCAAACTTGTACCTCTGAAATTTCACACGGTCCATAACTGCCTCCTGAGTTTCACTCTCAGTCAAGGTCTGGTCCACTTGGAGTTCAGCCTCGCGCTCTCCCAGATTGTAGACACATGTGAGCTGGCCGTCTACCACTGCCATTCCGATGTAGTCCTGGGAGGCCTGAAGACATAAAGTCCACCTCAGAACACTTTGCACGCTGTATTCTCTCAACTTCCCATCCCAAGAGGATGCATTTCAAATAATTAATGGATTTTATGCAACGGCATTGGCAGACAGAATAAATGAGGTGCGCTCTTTTATAGAATAATATAGATGCTTAATTAATGGCTGCACTGTCCTTGCTCATGTTATAGTGCCTTCATTTACTAATTCCCCCATTCACTCAATCTACAAATACTTGCCAAGCATCTACCATAAAGATGGACCAGATATGGGCCCAGCTGCCCATTAGATTTGTCTGGTAAGGGAGGTTAGTTGTTTCTGTTCTCCCAGTACTATACAACATTCTCTTAACTCTTTGTGCATGCCTCTGTTATAACACCTATGTTACTACAGTCAGTTATGCGTGTATCTTTTTTCCCTGTTACAATGTGAACACCTTAAGGTAGAAATAATTTTTTTTAAGTTGTGGTAAAATATACATAATATAAAATTTAACATTTTAACCATTTTTAAGTGCGCCTTGGCATTAAGTACATTCAAGAAATAGATTTTTGTGTAGCATAAATACAGGGTATGGCACATAGTATATGCTATAAATTTGTTGAAGGAATAAAGTGCATTTTGTTTAATCCAAAGCAAAAAGTCATGTCATAAGAAAGCTATAAATAAAATAACAACACTTAGAAGCATGAAAGAGTAACTAATAATAATGTTTAAATACAACGTCCACCAGTGACAACTAAAACTTTCCAAATATTGAGAATCGTATTTCAGACATTTCTTCTCCAACAATTGTATCCTAACCCAGTCAGTGGTTACCTTTTTCCACTAACACTTAAGTCGAAGAAATATATTTTAAAAGGATGGATTAAAAGCTAAAACCAACCATTCAAAATGCCTATAAGGTAGTGGTTCAATGAATTTACGAGATGGGGCAACTGCATTTCTTATTGGTTAGGCAGGAGACGCTTCATTTCGCTCCCGTCCTCATTCATGGATCACTACCCCCGCACCCCCAGACTTGAGGAAGGGTCTGCGGCTGGGTGTCCTGAAGCAGAGGAAGGGATCACATTCTGCCAGGACTACTGCTGGTTTCCAGGGAGTGTTGATTTTGATGCCCTGGAAGAGTGGGGAGAGGCTCATCCACCCCAAGTATATGTGCTCACGTGTACACACACGTGTGCCCACATGCTGGGCCCATCAGGCAAGGCCTCTGCATGTGCCTGCAGCTAACAATCTGCAGTGGATGGGAGGCCCCTCACGGGCGCCACCACCGTGGGGAGGTGAGGGGAATCGCTGACATCTTGGTGGGACGTCCTGCTGTGCACACAGTTGTGCTGCATGTCTCAAAAGCACACATCTCCAAAAAATATTGTTTTAAAAACAAGAGAAATGTCCAAGCAATACTCACATCTTTATTTCCGAGGTACATCACAAACATATTCTCAGTCCCTCCATTTTCTCTTGAATCAGGTCTTTGCAGAAACAAAGACAGAGATGTATATCCTTTCAAATCTTCCAGGTCATTTGGCAGTCGGACTTCGACTCCAGATTTACCGTTGAACCTCATGGGGACAGCGACCTGCAAGGAGTAAGATACATGGTGTCTAATGTTCTGTGGTGAAGGAAGTGGATATGCTCAGAAAGGTGGTGTGTGAGACTTTGTAGCTGTCCCTCCTAACCATATATTAGCCTTTCCCAGGCTGTTATGACAAGGAGCAAGGAGGCATCCATGTCTCCTAGACCTGGATTATAAACTGGTGAAGCTGTTTCAGAAGCTGAATGATAAAGCATTCATGTTATTCCTGGTTATTAGCCAGGGATCTTTGATTCTGAGAAACGCATTAATTCTCTGTGCCAGCAATAACAATGATGATAATAATAATTCCAAACCTCGAAGGTTTTTGTTCAGATGAGTTTTTGTGAATATGTATAAAAGCACTTGTCATGGTGCCAGGCACTTAGTAGACATATGTCAATAATATTTTTTAAATGCACTTTTAAAGGAATTGTTTCCCATGAAAATATTACACATTATGATTGCATTTATTACAGGCATTCAACCCTAAAAAGTGAGTGTATCAAGGCTCTATAAAATAGTGCTTCTTAAACTCTCTGAAGGACCAGTTTTCCCTCCAATCTATCATGGATTAATATTTTTGTAAAATACACTACTAATTAAGTTACCAGAAAAATGAAACAAGGAAGGCATACAAAATACAAGTCCACTGATCACAACATTGCTTGGATGCTGAAGTAATTCAAATTACTAAAAGTTTCTAAGCGTTTACTCTCAACTTTATATTGATATCTAATGTACCCATTGTAAAAGTTCTCTGCCTAGCACTGGTCTGGGGACCAAGGTTGGGCAGCTCTGCTTTAAAATGCAGAAGATAAATACTCTCTAACAACTGAAAGAATAATACTCCCAGAATGATACTTATACCCACTGGACATCTGATCTACCATGCATTCAAACAGTTACGGAGGATCATGTACACACAAGGCATTACATCAGGGGGCCCGGCGATGGGCGACCCGTAGCTCCCCTCACCCCATTTGCAGGCTCTCACATGCCTCTCTCTGCTACTCACCCTCTGCCTGCCCTTCAGGACACCCATACACATGTCTGAGCCTCTTCCTGGCATGCCCTTCCGCTTTTTGTCACCCGGCAAACTTCTACTTACTTTTTTATCTTTTTAATTAAGAAGACACTCCGTGTATACAAAAAAAAAAAAAAGGATGGAGATTATACCTATATATGCATCACCAAATTGAGAAATGAAACATTACAGATGCAATGGGAGCCCCTTGGCCCCATTCCCCTGTCTCCCTTCTCAGTGGCCACTACTGCTCTGGATTTAGATTCTCACACAAATTCCCACATATGCTTTAGTATTTCTATTAAACATACATTTATCTGTAAACTATAACTAGCCTTATTTTTCATGTTTAAATATTTGTATATAAATGGCATTCGTCTGTACACATCATTACACAACTTGCTTTCTTTGCTGGGCACTATGTTTTTAGATTTATCCTTGTTAATGCATAGTTCCAGCTCACTCATGTTTACTATTATAAACATGTGGCTTTTTTCCAAATTTTTTTTTGTGCTTATAAACTGTGTTGCAATGAATATTCTTATCCATGTCTGTCCGTGCTATTCATTTGTGCTATTCTGAGCCTCTCCAGGTAGAACTAGGTGTTTCCATGACACACGTAACACACCTCTATCCAGCTTCTCAGTATAGTTTAAAAAACCACCTGTAGTGGCTGGTGAGCAGCCTGAGTTCACGACTATGGTTTAATAATCTCTGCGTCCTTAGCACCCAGGAGAGTGTCAGTGCAAACTACGTGTTCAAAAGCACTGGCTTATTACTTTTTTATTTTATTATTTTCCACTAATATAGTACTTACTATTTGCCAGGAACTGTTCTATGTTAGCTCATTTAACCCTAACAATCTCATGAGATTGGTACTACTGTTTACCTTGCTCTACAGATGAAGAAACAGAGGCACAGAGAGGTAAAATGACTGGCTCAGGGCCTCACAGCTCGTAAGTGACAGAGCAAGAATTAAAACCAAGATAGCCTGGCTTAATTACCAACTCTTAACCCCTGTGCTTTAATACATTTCACATTGTGTTGAATAAATTAGTGGATTAACAAAGAAGGGCAAAAGCAGCAAATGCTTTCTTTTTCATTTGGCTTTTATGAAGCACGTATGGGTTTGAAGAGGGTAGCTTCTCCCAAACTTGCCATATGCTCTTTGTCTTCCTGCTAAGGGTTTTATGTTGGGAGGGCTTTTCTTTCCTAGAAGAAAGGGCAGATTTTACAGCTCAAAAGAAGCAATATTGAGCCTAGAAATCAACTACAGTGCCTCCAGGGCAGTGATATTCTCTAACTCTCTCCCTGCAAACATCTCAGACAGGTCTGGCTAGGAACTATTGAGAAATACAAAAAAATTCATTCACACTATTTTAGGACAAAACAAATTGTAAGAGAAGAGTATCAGGAATTCAAGCAAATAATGTCAGGTTAAAATAAGAAAGGCTAATAAGGAAGTGCTCCAATGACAAAAAATTGCCGTGATCCTATGTCCTCCATCCTCAACAAAGATGGATTCTACAACTTTCAAGTTACAAGAGGGTAGCTCCTGTGCAGTATCATATTGGCACATTCTGACCATAGAACCTTCACTTGAATTTCTAACAACAGTTTATCAACTGGGGCCTGGAAGAAAATCCTTTCCACTTGCATAAACTCAATGGAAAGAAACTGCCTCACGTCCCCAATATACCAGATAATATAGGGATGAAGATCATGTGCACTTTTAAAAGATGACAAGAGGAAATCAACCTTTGTATTTTAAGCAACCAAAGAATTAGGTCAAGAAAGACAAAAAATTTTTCAGGAAATAAATGCCTTTCCTTTTTTGATGAATGTGGTAACTTATCAAAGAACTAGCCTTGGGGGGACCCCACACCCCCACCTTGTTTGCAGCATCTCTAGCCTGCTGAATTAGTTCTCGTATTCGGTCCACATTGTCAGAGATGTTTCCCAGGGGCAACAGTTTTTGGTTGATGCTTTCAATCTTGCTTAAAAGATCAGGCAGTCTGTTCGTTAATTTCTTCACTGTGGGTAAGATTAGAAAATAGAAATTTAAAATTATGCTTTGAGAAAAGGTTAAATATAGATGTTATTATTGATAGCGTTTGTTAGGTGGTATGTTTGGGCCCCAAATATTGAAGGTAATATCTTCAGGTAATATCCTTCCTAAATGCATCGTGGATTTTATTCTGCAGTCTAGGTACCAAATCCTTTTTTTGATCACTATAGGAAAGAAAAATCTTTGTTTCTGATCCTTAATACCAACCATAATTCAATACCTCATGATTCAGGAACCTATACCTTCACTCTATAAAAAAGAAAATCAATAGCACTGACAATGGATTAAAAAAGAATAAAACATCCTACCTGGTCCTTCTAACTAATAAAGTATCTATACTCTGAATGTATTATGTGAAGTTGTTTTCTAATGCTTTAGTTTCTGAGATTAGACTTTTCCGGGGAAGAGTGGAAATGGACCAAGGCAAATAACAATGAGAAAATGGCTACTAGATCCTGGCCAAAGAATGCCTGATACCTGAGTTATCTGCACTGGTCAGAGCCTTGTTGAAGTCTTCGCTCTGTGTGCTCCCATAGGTATCCTTAATTCTTTCCACATCTGTCTGAATGGGATTGAGCCCATCCAGAACCTCACTGGTGATGTCGTTGGCCTTTCTGACCATGCTCTTTGCACTACTGATCATATCATCAATGTCACCTAAGGCACACACAAATAGGGAGATGTAAGTACTTAAAATGTCCAACAAAGAACCCAAGTCCAGTAGGTTAGGGAGATGCCTACCTCTCTTTATCCCACGAAGATCATCACGGACAGTTGTAAGATTGGTGTCTATTAGTTCTTTCTGAACTGTCACTGTTTTTAGGGTTTGCTGTAGGTTCTTGAGAGCTGGACTGATTTCTAAAATAAAATAAAGCATCAAGAGGCAATTACTTTGTGGATTTTGATCCTGCATTAGTATTTGTGGCCCCTTAAGTAGCCAGTGTCTGCACAGCATTGAGCAGACTTGCATCTTAGAAGTCATCCCAGAGATGCCCACTGTATGTGCCCAGACCCACTGCTCTGGGGTCCTCCAACTCCAGAGGCCAGAAGCACATCAGAGATTTGTGGTAATGGGCTCCCTGTAAATGCACAGGAATAACTCAGGGGAAGGCTAAACTTCTCTGCTCAGAGCAACAGGCTGCTTAGTGCAGGCCTGGCACTAGTCAGGGCTTAATATTAGCACATATGTATTGAATGAATGAATGAATGAACAAATGAATAATGCAGAAGAAGAACTCTTCCATCAGAGGAAAAGAAAGGAGTGCTGTTGAGAGAGCCTCATCCAAGCAAATACAGACATGAAGTAGGCATTGTTTGTTTCTGTTCATTTCCAAACCAACACATTTTTAAAATTCCATGAAAGGAAAGGAGCTAACAGACATTCCTAGCTGATAATATTGCCATCTTTGGGTCATGGAAAATGACCGGTGAATGCTTTAAGATCATACTGATGATACATGACTTAAATTATGATTTAAGTGACTGGTTTACATAGCAACGTAGTTAACTTTCTAACTCTAAATCACTAATCCTACTTTTAAGCTTCACTTTTGTAAAGAGAGCAGATGTCATACCAGAAAATCTTAATTCTTGAAATTTGTTAGGCAAATGATTGTACGTTAGTACATATTTTCTTTTGCATCTTATTTTTCATATATTTAATTTTCAAAAATGCAAAATAAATAAATTTACAAAGACATCATCTAATTCCTCTGAAAAAACTAAGGAGCTGAGCGAGGGCTGTGGGTTCAGATGCCTGCTTAGCCTTGAATGGCCACAAGAGACCAGAGAAACCCAGACACAGCATTTTCAGAACATAGGAATTTGGTAAGATTGAGACAGTTCAATTCCTTAAAAAAAAATTAAATAAAATAAATGTGAATTTTCCAAACATAAAATTTATGCTTAAAAAATTCTTATGCTGGGCTGGCCCGGTGGCGCACTGGAGAGTGCGCCGCTTGGGAGTGCGGCGGCGCTCCCGCCGAGAGTTCGGATCCCATGTGGAGACCAGTTCCCGCTCACTGGCTGAGCGCAGTGCGGGCACAACACCGAGGGTTGCTATACCGTTGCCGGTCCCCGGTACGGGCATGACACCAAGGGTTGCGATCCTGTTACCGGTCAGTAAAAAAGACAAAAAGGAAAAAAAAAAAAAATTCTTATGCTTCACAGTGGTAGTGAACAGTGAGGTGTTTTTTTTTTTTTTTTTTGGTACTTTTGTCTGCTAAGACTTTAGGACTTAAGAAATTTTGAAACAGTTGCTCTAATGACCTGAAACTAAAGATCTTGGTATGTGGATTCCCTATACCCTGATCACAAATGGATTAAATTAAAATAGTCCCCCCATCAAGGCCAGGCCAAATAGGCCTATCCCCCCTCAAGATTTATTTATGTTTATAAGGTTACAGTTAATTTCCTATTTGATAGATGTGGGATATTTAGAATATTGGGTGGATGCATAATTTGATAAAATAAACAGATTTAAAAAGTATCATCTGCATTGACACTGTCCACATCTAGCCCAGTGACTGAGTTGCCACCGGAAGCCCCCTGGGCTCTCCCGCCAGAATGAGAGGGGTGCCACAGGCCTCAACCATCCCCCCACCTTCTCCTCCCACTTCCCCTTGCCCTCCCCCTCCCCCAACCGCTCTGCAACAACATCCTAGAATGTAAAAAAATAATAATAATAATAAATTAATTAAAAAGAAAAAGAGCATTTGCTTCTGAGCTGCTCCTCCTGGTCCTACAGATAGATCATTTAAAGCCCCTGACTAATCCTGCCACTGCCCACACACCCAATACCTTGCTGTAGCTTCTTCTGTGTTGTCTTGGCTTCCTTTAACAGTTTGCTACTGTCAGAACTCAGGGTTTTAGCTTTTCTTGGAAGATTTTCCTTTATCACTGTCTGAAAACAAAGGATTTATTTATTAGCCTTAAACATATGCTATACCTTGAAAAATAGAGTAAGGTTTTCATCCTAGTTTAAGGCTCTTGTGTTTACTCTTTAAAGCATGAAGTTCAAAAGGGGAAAAGGGCGTAAGAAGTAGACTGTACCATGAAAGATACAGTTAGGGCTCTAGGAGACATCTGTGGCTTGGGGAGGTGGACCCGCCCCTCGTGACATACTAACAAATTATGTGATACCTGTCTCAGTTGTTCACTGCCCCTTGTATAATACTGCCTGCAATAAGGGAAGGGAGAACTTAGTTGCTTTCAGGCTGCGAAGCTTTAGAAGATAAAAGTTATCAACCATCCAAGTAGGTCTGTCCCCCAGCTCTGATATTTAATATTTTGTCCTTTATTTTCAGATATAAGAATATAAAATGATACATATAAGATCCCACAGGACTCCGCAGACATGACTAGATGTAAGACCAAAGACTGGGAGAAAACAGTAATCAAATTGTTTACAAAATCTCCCTCTTTTTGGTAAATGTTAATATTTAATCACCGCATAAAAGCATATATGGTAAGAAGCAGGATATAATATTTATTTAGGTTCGAAATAGATAATCAGTGTAATTTCTATCTGGTTTTAAAAATATTGTAGTTTTTGGGCCGGCCCGGTGGCGCACTGCTACAGTGCGCCGCTTGGGAGCGCGGCGGTGCTCCCGCCGAGGGTTCGGATCCCACATACAGACCGGCCACTCACTGGCTGAGCGAGGTGCGGGTGCAACACTGAGGGTTGCGATCCCGTTGCCGGTCCCAGTCCGGTACGGGCGCGACACTGAGGGTTGCGATCCGTTGCCAATCACGAAAAAAGACAAAAAGGAAAAAAAAAATAAAATAAAAAAATGAATAAATAAAAATATTGTAGTTTTTGAACTGTACTGTAGACGTCAAATAGTCAAGTAAATACAAAAATGACCCATATCTAGAGCATGTTCTATTCTATATAACAAGCTCTAACTTAAAATGATGCTTTTGCATATTCCTCAGTGCACATGGAAAGAAAATAAGAAAATGAGCCATTGCCAGAGCAAATCTAGAGAAGCTGTTCGCGCAGATGCCCACCTGGTGGGCGGACTCAGCCGCGCTGCTGGCCTTGTTGGCTGCGTCCTCGGCCACTTTTATGGCATTGAGGATGTTCTCGTAGGCGGTGGCAGCGTCCACAGCACAGCGCACCAACTCGTCCCCACTGGCGTTTCTCTTGATCCTGGAAGACCAATGGGTTAAGTCCCCCAGCAGCCTTCCCCTGCCTGCAGCTGATATCCTCCCTGGCCCTCCCATTTCTTCAGGTCTCTGCAGCTCTGCCCCAAGGACACGGCTGGGAATCAGCTCCTCCACTGCTGGCCTGTTTCTGACCCAGGCCCTGGGTCCCACTGGACTTTGGCCTTGACCCTGCCCTCCAGGCTGCTCTGGAGACCAAGCAAGCCCAGGGGAGGGCCAGGGGCAGCACAAGCCCATCTGGATCTGTGCAGGCCACACACTCACTCTTCCAGCTGCTTCGCCAGCTCCTGTAAAGACTGCGCGTGCTTCTCTGCCTCCACCACCAGGGACGCTTTGCTGGCTGATCTGGAAACTTCTCTCACTTTGTCATTTAGTTCTTGTCTTGCATCATTTAAATTGGCAGCTAATTTTTCGTATTCCTATTTTTTTCAAGTAAACAAAGACAGTATAAATTCAAAGAAAGAATGTATATGCCATTTTCACAAATTCTGTCATAAATGACACATTTCCAGGAGACAACAACCAGAAATTATATTTTCTAAGCCCATTTACCACACCTGTTAATTCTTGGTTACATCAGATAGTGGCATTGATAATGTTCTCCCAAGTTTTACCACCATCTTCAACATTTTCCTTATGATGAGTGTCCCTGTTAGTAGGTTTTATAAAAGCACAATGTCATCAATGTAAAGCTGTATTAAACCAAGGGACTTTTTTATGATTCAGAAATAGCTATTATAAAAGACACTTTCAAAATGCACATTGTGCTGCTAAGAAAGTTTGTCAGTCTTTTATCAAGTCTTAAATGTCTTCTGTTAATAAAGGTATGCTTGATATTTTAAAAATAGTATAGCAGTTATTTTTTGTTGTTGTTATCACAAAAATGATTTGCTTATTGCAAACAAATCAGGTCATACAGATCTGCATAAATAAGACATATCATTCATACCCCTCCCCTAACAGAGAACCACTGATAACATTTTGGTATATTTCCTCCACCTAAAATACATATACTCAGAGGAAAAAATAGGTCAGCCCCTCTAATAGTTTCCTGGCAATAGAATTTAAATGTTTTTAGATTTTCTAGAGAACAAGCAATCTCCTCTACCTTCTGGCTTTTTTCCATCAGCTGCAGCACATTGTCGGTTTGCAGTAAAGAAGCATCTGCAGTGGTTAGATACTTGGTGAAATCACTCTGCAGGGAATTTATTTCCTTCACTTGTCTCTGAAGAGAAAAAAGAGAATATCTGCTTGGGCTCCGTGATATATTATCAGAAGACACAGACATAGTTATCAGACAACAGCACATAAGTAATTTCAGTCAGAATGTTTTCTTGAACCTAAAGATCATCCAGGCAATTACAAAGCAATGGCAAATCAGTTCTCTCTGCAGTGCGGGCAGGTTGCCATGGTTTCCTCAAACTATATGCCAATGAAACCATCGCTGTCACTGTTGAAGGCTTTTACACTGGGGTCAACTCAGCCAATGGGGTGGCTATATTACTAAACTCTGATTTGTGGAACAGAACGAGGGATTTTAACTAAATAAACCAGCACCAACCATCAGCACCAACTCTGCGTGCAGTACCCATGAAGATGTAGCAGGCACTAGAATGAGAGATTACAGGACCTGAGAACGCCAGGCCAGAAGGCTGTCAAAGTTCAGAGATCCACAAAATTGGATCCTGCTCCCTTCCCTTGGCATAATCAGTGACTCCAAACAGAGGTGTTACTACCTAAAGAGGCTTTGGGAGCTAGGCACATAGTCATCTGCTAAGACATCATTTATTTTCATTTACCAAGTTCCTCCTCTTTTGGGGTCAGTCCTATGTTATTCAACTTTGATCTTAGCATGATGTTATAACCCCTCACATTTTTGTTGTTGTTTTAACTCATGATGTTCACTGTAAAAAATATAAACTATAAAATCTTGAGCTCTGAATTCCATCACTGTAGCTTCTGTATGTGGCCTGTACTTTATTTCCTATAAAGCAGGTAATGGCCTAACATGACCTTGCTGGTGATTATGATAACGATATTTACATATCTGACACAAAAAGTCAGTTATTTAAAACATAATATACAATTTTTTGTATAATTTTAAATAGCTAGTAGAGAGAATTTTGAATGTCTCCAACACAAATAAATGAAAAATGTTTTAGGTAATGGATATGCTAATTACTCTGATATGATCATTGCACAGTGTATACATGTACCCAAATATCACATTGTACCCCATAAATATATACAATTATCACATGTCAATTGGGAAAAATAAATTTAAATTAAAGTTTTTTTTTTAAATGCACATTTTGAATTAATTATAACAATATTAATTTCTCATCTACATGGCAACATTATTCCTCCAATACCCTTCTAGCCAGGGGTAGGGGTGAAGCATTTGCACTGCTTGTCTGCTCAGGATCTTTCCTGGTAGCTGAGCAATAGAGATGACTTTGTCATTGCACTTAATGCCTCTTTCCTGTTTGATTAGGGTCTGAAGTGATATAACTAGACGTGCAGACAGGTGCCTGGCTATAACACATTGTAAGAATAAAGATCCGTTCTTCCTTCATCCTTACCATTAATGAAAGTGTGCAGTTTCTAACTGTGAACTCACCTTGATGGCACCCAAAGCTCTCTCGTTTTCTTGGTTGAGGCCAGTGGCCTGCTTTGCTTGGGCAGCTGCCTCCTGCAGTGCGGCACGAAGGTCACTGAGTTTAGCTTCGTATTCATTTAAAGAATCCCGTATACTCTTAACAAGTCCATTGTTCTCCACCTGGTGGGTTTCCAGCCAGCTCCTTATCCGGTTCAGCACTGTAATACATCACTTTATGTTTCCCACTTATGAGGTGAGCACACTGAAGCCAAGTTATAAAACTACAGAAAGTGAATCAAGTTTCTACTTGTTGAACTTGAACTTTTGAGAGAATGGGAAAGGAAACTAACATTTAGGCAGATCTGCTATGTACACTGTATTCACTGCCTCTTTTAGCTCCCATAATACCCACATGAAAACAGTAATTCTCATTCTCATGTTTCTGACAAGGAAAGGGAGGCCCTGAGAAATTAGGGGATCAACTCAAGGTTGCATAACCAGTCAGACCTGGGACTTGAACTAGAGCTGCAGAGTATAAAGCGTATGCTCCTTCCACTGCTAATATCTCCTCCTTACAATTAAAAGTAAGACTAATACCAAATTTGAACAATACAAATGCTATAACAAAACTTACTATCTGCATATTAACCACCGGTAGGTACATCATTTTACTAGAGAATAAATACTAGTACTTGAAAAAATACACACCAAGCTAACATTTCCGAGTTTTGAGCTAATGAAGCATTTTTTTCTCAATTAAAATCTTTAGATATACTCAGTTAATTTCTAGTATATCCACTTTTTTTGTAATAGGAGTGATAATATCAAATTGTGGTTCAAAAATCCAATAGTGGCGAGGTGACCATTAAAAAGATGTAAGCACCAAGGTCAAGGGTTCAGATCCCCATACTGACCAACCACCAAAAAAAAAAAAGATATAACGAGAAAATTGGAAAGAGGTAAGTGAATGTCAGAATACTGTAAATGCGGGGCTGGCCCGGTGGCGCACTGCTACAGTGCGCCGCTTGGGAGCGCAGCGGCGGTCCCACCAAGGGTTCGGATCCCACATACAGACCGGCGGCTCACTGGCTGAGCGAGGTGCGGGCGCGACACTGAGGGTTGCGATCCGTTGCCGGTCACGAAAAAAAAAAAAGACAAAAAAGATACTACAGCTTCACAAACAAACTGTAAGACTACAATCACGTAAAATTAAAATTCATCTTTTATCAGCCAAGAGACTAATGTTTCTGCCAGGCCAAGAAGGCAAACAATTTCCCAGATGCCCCCCGTATTTTATTCAGTCTGCAAGAGGAAAATACCAGTTTTCACCACAAGCTGCTAATAGTACCTAACAAATTAGTTAATGACAAGCCTAGAGACAATTTCGATCCTGTTGCCGGTCCCGGTCCAGTACGGGCGCGACACTGAGGGTTGCGATCCGTTGCCGGTCACGAAAAAAGACAAAAAAAAGGGGGGGGGGGGAAGAAGAATACTGTAAATGCAATTAAAAAGGAAAAAAGGTATCAATATCTAACATTTAGGAGAAGAACCTTTTTTTTTGCATGATGGTAAGATGTTATATTCTGTAGCCTCCTGGTAACTTGGAGAAAAGACACTTGGTCTCTTAGGGGCACTACCCATTCTCACCACCATGTGCTGCTCTAACATTAATTAGTGTTCGCTGAAATGATAAGACCTTCCACCATCACTGGGAACTCAACACTGTACTCATATTTCAAACCAATTAGAATGGATCGGATACAAGAATTTGGGAGTGTCCTTACAGAGCTGAGCTTCTCTATTTTCTGCTTCTGCTTCTCTCAGGTGCTTTCCAAAGTTTCGGTTCCGCAATTCTCTCATCATGCGTTCGGCTTCAGCCAGCTCTCTGGAAAAGTCACCCGAGGGTACATTGTTTCCTTCTCCATCTGTCCCAGAGATCTGCTTCAAGAGAACTAGAAAACATCGAGTAGTTTATTAAACTGGGAATTCAGGGCTCTAGCGCACCACTTAAAAAAAGGCAGAAACTTTTATGAAGGTTTCATGTTAGTTTTTTAGTATCACTATAGGATCTTTCTCCTAATAGTGAACTCTTAAAGGGAATTCTTTCAGCATACAACAAAGGCTATGGAACAAAAAAAACATTTAATTGGACCAAGTAACTCTGCTTACTTTGCACATTCCGGATGACATTGTTAATCTTTGTGTCCAGCTCTTTGGCACTTTGGGTTGTCTGATCCACATTGTTGTATAATGTTTGTGCTTTTCTGGAATTTATTTGAGCCTATATAAAAAATAAATTGATAAGCAACAAATAAAGTTGATGGGAAAAAAAAACTAAAAATATTTTGAAAGCAAAAAAAAAAAAAAAAAAAAAAAAGGAAAAGTAATTGACCTAACACATTACCTTTTCTTGCAAAGTCTCAAAGTCACGATTCAAATTACTCAGCTCTTTTTCCAGGCCATCCATTTTTGATCCATGATTTGAAATGGTAGAACGGTAGTTGAGCAACTGATTCTGAAAGAAAAACACAAAGCTAATCTCATTTTAGAGTGGAGATTTAGACGAAATCCTATCAACCTGGTAAATGTGGTAATGAAATGAAAAGATTCATTTAGCAAGACCAAATGAATGTGCTAGTTCCCCAGGAAAATAATTTTTTGAAATAAGCTACATGAAGAACTACTTTCTGATATAAATTGTAATACAGCTCTAAAATAAAGTAGCAAATGTGAAAAATGTAAAGAGACAAGAGATACCTTACTTAAATTAATGTAAGATACCTTACAGAAATGAGGGCAATACTTACTCGATTTTCAGATTCTATAATAAATTCAGTTTTTTAAAATCTATAGTTAACCTGATAATACTAAAAGCAGTACATATGTCTACTTTATTGAAGGAACCATTAGACTCAAATAATCTAATCTAATAGAGCTAGAGAGAACTCAGAGTTCATGTAGGTGAATAGCCTTATATTACAAATGAGAGAATGGAAGCCCATTGAAAAAGTTTACAAGAAAAAATGATACTATTATCTCCATGTGGATGTCAGAGCCAATGCTGGGTAAAAGAATACAGGCTTTGGAGCTTAGGTCCAAACACTATGTCTACCACTTAGTAGATGAACCTCACTAAGCCTTATTCCTCCACTAGTAAGCGGGGATTATCATATTAAGTGGCATGGTTGGTTTTGGTGATAAGTGAGTTAATGTATTCTAAAATGGCATGTGCACAAGAGCATTAAAAAATGTTAGTTCCCTTCTCAAACTTATTCCTTCTGAATTTTCACTGAGTTTGTGTGATACAGAAAGAAGATATTTCTGTTAATTTTACTATGGGAAAACTAAGGCACATCACTATACAGAATGTCAGCAGAACACCTGGATAAGAGAGATGGGGGTATGGCTCGGTCTTTCTAATTAGATCTTGATATGAATTCTTCTAGAACCACTATGTGCTAGCTGTGTGATCTTAGGTGAGTTACTTAGCTCCTCCATGCCTGCAAAATGAAAATAACATCCTTTTCTTGTAGGAATATTGTGAGACTTAAGGAAAGAACTTGGCACAGAGCATGCTCATAGGATGAATACAGAAAAGAGGTGCAGGGCTGTATCGATGAAATCAAAGTAACTCAAGTTGCTTCCTTTTTTCTCAAAACTTAAAGGCTCCCCTCTCCCCATATTAAGCCTATTAAACTACGGTCCAAGATTACCCTGGAAAGCTGGAAAAGAGCCATTTTTCTAGAATGATTTTTTTTGTATATACTTAGCTATAGCCACTAGAATTATCCCTCATTCCAAAAGCACTTATTAAACTTTCCCCTAAAGCCTCTTTCACTGTGTCTAGTCTCGGTTTATCTCATCTACTGAGTTTTACTTCAATGACTATATATTATTTCATTTCCTTGATTTCCAGAGGTATCTTTTCATATCTACCTCTCTTTATTTGATTTCTGGTGGCTTTTTCCCCCTCAAATTTCCTAATTCTTGTTCCTTCTATTGGGTGTTTTATTCAAAGTAATTTTCTGATTGTGCTATCATTTTCATTTTATCTTAAGTCAACTCATCCCTTGACTGTCACTTCTGTTGGGTGTCTTTCCTATTGTTATCTGTCTGTTAAAATGTTTGCAGGCTCATTCTGAGTCGGATATTTCCCCCTCTCTGCACTCCCTGGGCCCTGTCTAGTGATCTCAAAGTATCACCACCTCCACTCTGGACCCTCCAGTCCAGGACCAGATCTTACATGGGCAGTTTAGGATTTGTACTCTATGGTGACACTGGGGATGTCACATTCCAGCACAGATTCAGGTTTGTGGATTTGCTCAGCCCCAGTAACTTTCCTAGGTTCTCATATAGCCATTGCCCAACAATGAGCATTGGACAGTTTCCAAGTTGTTTTTTAGCCTCCATAGACTGGCAGAGCAGCCCTCAGTTTCTCCCAGGAAGCCTGACTCCGTCCGGCCCTGTGGGCACTTTAGGCCCCATTACTTCTCACCCTGGTCACTTTCTTTTCAAGTACACATAGAACATTCACCCAGATGGGCCATAATCTAAGCTATGAAACAAACCACGCATTTAAAAGAACTAAAATCATATAAACTATGCTCTCTGACCACAACAGATTTAAATTAGAAATCAATAATAGAAAATTATCTGGAAAATCCCCAATTAGGAAATTAAGCAACGCACTTCTAATCACTCATGGGTGAAAGATATGTCACAAGGGAAATCAGAAAACCTTTTGAATTGAATGAGAATGAAAATAGTGCATGGGGGAAAATTTATAGCATTAAATGTTTATGCTAGAAACAGAAATGTTTTTGAATTAATAAAATAAGTTTTCATCTCAAGAAACCAGAAAATAGGGCTGGCGGATTAGCTCAGTTGGTTAGAGTGCGGTGCTGATAACACCAAAATCCAGGCTTTGGTCCCTGTGCTGGCCAGCTGCCAAAACAAAAACAAAAACAAAACAAGAAACTAGAAAATGAATATTAAATTACACCCAAAGCAAGCAGAAGGAAGAAAAAAATATGGATAAGAACAGAAATCAATGAGATTGAAATCAGAAAAACAATGGAGAAAATCAATGAAATAAGATGATCAATAAAATTCATAAAACTCTACCCAAAATAAACAAGATAAAGAGATAAGACATAAGTTACCAATATCAGGAATAAATGAGAGGACATCACTACAAATTTTGCAGGTATTAAAAAGGACAATAAGAAGGGCCGGCCTGTGGCTCACTTGGGAGAGTGCAGTGCTGACAACACCAAGTCAAGGGTTATGATCCCTTTACCGGTCATCTTCAAAAAAAAAAGCAACAACGGCCAAGCTGGGGCTGCTAGAGCTCAGGGGAAGAGGAGGAGAGACGTACAGAGCTCATGAAGGCAGCAGAAGCCATGGTGAGAGAAAGGACTGCTCCAACCATTTCGAGCACCAGCCGCTTCAAGGCTGGCCCCGGTGAGCGCATGGAGCAGGAGCTGGCAAAAGCAGCAGCTGTGCCCTTCAGATAAAGTTGCTTAGAGGTGGCAGGGAGAGGAGGGCCTTGGTGGCTCCCAGGCCAGCCAGACCACTGACAGGGTTTCCGTGGACCCACACAGCAGTGAGGGGCCACAGACAACTGAAAAAAGGAGCCACTCAGAGGCTGATGAGTCATCGCAAGGGACAGGTGCATGGCCCATCCCATGGGAAATGTTTGGAGTGAGAGGGTGGGGGAGACGGGCCCACCAAGGAGAGCATTGAGGCACAGCAAGAACAGCTGATCTGCCCCCCACTCAGCACAGGACCACCCAATGGAGACTGGTCAAGAATATAGAACTGTAGGGGGTGAGTTTGCTGGAAAGTCTCAGGCCCAGACAGAATTTCCACACTTCCCAAGTGTACCGGACCTCACAAGATCCAGAAGTACTTAAAAGGTCAACAATTAAAACCTGAGCTGCACAAAAAGCCTTACCCAGGGAATCAGCAGCAAAGCAGAAATTTAGCTCAACCACAGGGCTCAAAGTGCTGGTTCCCACAAGAAGTTCCCCATTTTAGAAGTAAGCAAAGGACAACAAATTAGTTCCAGTGCAGAGTTTAAGTGGTGGGGGCGGCTAATAATCCAACACAGAAGCAAAAGAAACACTCACAGATCAGAGACAAAGTTCTGATATTAACCAGTAAAGGTCTAACACCACCAAAGAACACTTTATAAAACATAAAAGGACCAGAAGCCCCCCGGGTTCCCAAGCTGGGGGGGAAAAAGGGCTGAGGACCTCAGCCATGCTCCTCCAACATCTGCATCCAGCCCAGCGATGACCACCCAGCTGCCACCAGAAGTGCCCCTGGCTCTCGAGCCAGAGTGGTGGGGGATCAAGGGTCTCAGCCATGCCCCCGCAATGTCCACATCCAGCCCAGCAACTACCACCAGGCTGTCACCAGAAGCATCCTGGGCCCCTGAGCCAGGGCGGTGAGGCATCAAGGGACTCAGCCATGCCCTCCCAATGTCCAATCCAGCCCAGTGATGACCACTAGGCCATTGCCAGAAACCCCCTGGGCTCCCCTGCCAAAATGAGGGGGTGACACAGGCCTCAACCATGCCCTACCCTCCCTCCTTCCTACTCCTCACACCCTATCTCCCTCCACTTTCCCTTTTACCCTTCCTCCCCAACTGCTCTGTAACATCTTAGAATGTAAAAATAATAATAATAAATCAATAAATTAAAAAGAAAAAAATAAGGGTACATTATAAACAATTTTATGTCAATACATTTGATCACTTAGATGAAATGGACACATTATTTGAAAGGCACAAACTACCAGATATCACTCAAAAAGAAATAAATAATCCAAATAGTCTCATATCTATTTTTTTTTTTTTTTGTCTTTTTTCGTGACCGGCAACGGATCGCAACCCTCAGTGTCGCGCCCGTACTGGACCGGGACCGGCAACGGGATCGCAACCCTCGGTGTTGCACCCGCACCTCGCTCAGCCAGTGAGTGGCCGGTCTGTATGTGGGATCCGAACCCTCGGCGGGAGCGCCACCGCGCTCCCAAGCGGCACACTGTAGCAGTGCGCCACCGGGCCGGCCCTCATATCTATTTTTTAAAAATTGGGGGTTAGTGAGAAATTGGTAAAGGGCCACAAAAAATGATTACAGTGTGTAATGTCAAATATACTAACTGTTCTGATTTGATCATCACATATCGTACACAGGTATTGACATTCAACACGATACCTCACAAATATGTACAATCAACTGTTTTTCAATAAAAAAGTAATAATAAAATAAATAAAATTTAAAAATTGAAATGGAAAAAAAATTGAATTTGTGTTTTGCTTTGTTTTTTAAAAAAACTTCCAATGAAGAAAACCCCAGGCCTACATGGCTTCACTGGAAGATTCTATCAAACATTTAAAGAATTAATACCAATTTTACACAAACTTGTTCGTAAAAAGATAAACCTGTGTCTTCCAAATACAAGACACATAAAGGCTCTATGAGAAAAATTAGTCCAAAATGTTCAGTGAGTAAAGAATGTTCACTTAAAAGTGCTTTGTGTATTCACAAATACTTTCCGCCAGGAAAAATCTAATCTCCACTTGGATCAGAGGAAGGAGGAAACCTCCAGAACCTGAAACAGAGTCAACCTCTTCCCTTTCCACTTGAGGACCATCCATTCCGGTAGCACCTATTCACCCAGTATCTGCTCAGGGCCATGGGGACTTACCCTCAGGTCCTTGGCCTGGGTCTCCATGTGCCTCATCTGCTCCAGAGCACCTGCGCTGGCACTCAGGCCCTGCAGCTGTGACTTGACCAGGCGGAGCTCCTCGCCCATGGTGGCCAGATCATCCAGGAGTGTCATCACACAGCTGTCGCAATCTGCAGGGGCCACAATCAAAGGCAAATGTGCTACAGGCTGGAGCCACAGGAAGCAAAGAGAGCACAACATATGTGCACAGACCATCGCAAAATCACTGCCCTGGCCAGCTCAGGGAGGGATGTGATTCTGAAAAAAAGGGAGATCCCTGTACACAGGGAGCACTTTAAAAAGAAATGGTGATTCTATGCCACTGGTTGCTTCTTTCGTATGTGGGGAAAATAACAATAAATAGCTTTTATTTGTGGAGTGCTTGCTATTTACCAGGCATTGTGATAAAAGGATTACAAGCATTTTCCCAACAGCCCAGGTCTAGTTATTGTGTCCATTTTACAAATAATAAAACTGAGGCTTGGAGAAGTCACGTCACTTGTTGAAGGTCACATAGCTAGTAGGTGACAGAGGCTGCGTTTGACCATAAGTAGTCCTCCCACCATTGCTTTCCCAGACTGGAAACTGCGTATCCCAGGATGGGACTTGCATATCTTCAACTAAAACCCACAACTTGGGAGGGGGAGGAGAGCTTTTTCTCACCATCACATTCTTCTGCAGGGCCGCTGTCTTTGGGTTCTTGGTTTATGCAATCTGAAATCAGGAAATAACCAAAGAAGGCATTGTGATTAAACTTACTCTTCATCTGCTTTTTAACTTGGCTTTCAGAAAAGCTAGTTTTGGAAGAGTTTAGTCACCTGACTCCTTAGTATCACCTGCTCTTCCTCCCCTCCTCCCCAACCACTGAACTTCTTTCATGGCCTCCCTGATTATATACTCCAGTTATTCTCTACAAAAGGGTCAGGCATGCTCTTCCTATCAAAATAAAACTCCTATTTGTTGGCATCAAGGCTTTCATCATTGGATAGCCTCCTATATGTTCATTCAACATTCAACTATCATTTGAGAACACTGAACAAACATTCACTGAGCACCTTTGGGCATGCACTGTGTGCCATGGCCCCATGCTAGCTGCAGGAAATGCAAAGATACCAAGACAAAAATCCCTACTGTCCTGTGGTTTAATAGTCCCACAGCAGAGGCAGACAAATAACCAAACAGTGTGACAGACGCTGTGATAGAGGCAGACAGTGCAAGTGGGCCCACACTGCTACAGAACATGTAAGCTGTTTTGATGTTCTCAGCTACAGTCAGGAACATCTATTGGTCATCCTTGGACATTCTTTGCTCCTTCCACTTCTGCTCCTTTCCCATGCCACGCAGTTTTACACTGAAATCACTTCTTATTTCCCTCTGAAAAATAATCTGATTTCACCACAGCAAAACTCTAAGCTTGAAATCTTTCTGTGCATGCTACAAGAGGTTTTCACAGTTGTTCTCAGCAGCCAGTAATATTCCACGCTTTTAAACTACATTTACTTTTGAAAAATTTTTAATTGATACGTTGTAATTGTACATACTTGTGAGTTATGATCTGATATTTTGACACATATGTATGTTGTATAATGATCAGGTCAGGGTAGTTAATGTATCAATCATCTCACGCACTTATCATTTCTTTGTGGTGAAAACATTCACAAGCCTCTCCTGTAGCTATTATGTAACAGGCAAAACTCAGCTGTTAACCATCGTCACCCTACCGTGCAACAGAACACCAGAACTTACTCCTCCTTTCTAATTGAACTTTGTGCCCATTGGCCACCTCTCCGTTTTCCCTCCCCTTGCCCCTTTGCCAGTCTCTGGTAACTACTGTTCTACTCTCTGCCTTTATAATATCAACTTTTTTTTTTTTAAAGATTCTACATATGTAAACCACATTGACTATTAATAGCATACACAAAAAATTAAATTCATTTTGGAAAATTTGGGAAAGCCAGAAAAATAAGATAAAAGCATCACAATTGATCCTACTACTCAATCAATGTTTCCTTTATATATCTTTGAATACATTTTAATTTATTATATATAATTAAAGGTTATATATAGATTATATAATTAAAGGTTATATATCTTATACTCATTCTTAAATGTATATATAGTAGTGGCACTTTTATTTCCTTGATTAGTCTGTAAATGCCTTTCAATCAAGAAACATGGCTTCATTTCCTTCAGTCTCCCGTAGCACCCTGTTCAGTCTATGGGGGACTTGGTTTATGTGGATGATTGATTTATCATGCAATTTTTCTCAACAAGTTTGAGGTTTGATCACCAAGGAATCCATACATTATTAGTTGAAAAAAAAAAAAAAGCAAAAAAAAAGCTCACAAGAACACGAAAGTGTCATGAGTCAGCATTTTCTTCCATTTTTGAAATAGTTACATCCTCTCTTCAAGTTGCTTATTTTTATGATTAAAGTAGGGGGAAAGGAGGGTTGAAGAGGCATTAATGTCATGAATAAGCTGTGTGTGATGTTGCAACTTCTTGAATATCTCCAGTGACATCAGAAATCGCCTCCTTTTAAAAGTCTGTTTCATCTCTAAACAGCTTTAAACATTTGACCCTTCTTCCTTAGAATGATAGAAAATAGATCTCCCTCTTGCCTCCATTCTTTGGTATAAGTTCTATCCATCGTACCATAGATGACAAGACCACCTTCCTCCCACACTCCAGCCTTTCAAATACATCCTTTCCAGGTCTTCTTTTCACTGCCCTGGTCAATGCTTCCCCATGTGACAAAGTTTCAAGTCCCTTCACAGTCTTGCCCTCTTTCTGAACAAACTGTAGCTCATCTATTGTCTTCTAAAGACATAAACTTCATGTGAGGACTTCCATGAGCACTGTGCCATGGGATGGTGAACCACCTGGCTTTAGACACCAGAACTCAGTCATGGTAGTCTGAGGTGTCTTAAAGGCCACATCACATTCTTGAATCATACTGAACTTACTGCTGACTACAACCTTAAGCCTTTTTGCACCTCCTGCTACTAAGCCACATCTCACTTATCACATACTTAAAGGTTGATTTTTTCCCCATTCAACTATAGGATGGTATGCTTATCCCAAACATAATTTTGTCTGGTTAGAACTGGCCCATGATTCCAGGCTGTTGAGGCCCTTTTGTATCCTAAATGTGTCATAGGAAGCATTTGCCATCCTTCCCACCTTCGTGTCATTTGATGACTGGGTAGGCATCCCTTCTATACTTCCATCCAGGTCAAAAACATTGAACAAGATGGAGCCAAGGATGGAGTCCTGAGGCATGACGACTGCCGTTGACTGGATGCCCCTCAACCTCAGTGAGGGTTAATCCCCTCTGTAACTGCTAAGGGTGGGAAATCCTATCACAGTAATTGAAAGGTGGAGCCTTGAAGAGGTGATTAGATTGCAGGACCATGCTGTAGTGAATGGATTAAAAATAGTGGTCAGGGCATGATTCTGAAGGCTTTAAAAGAAGAGTGAATGAAGAGCTGAGTTTTTCTCTGCTCTGCCATTTTTGCAATGTGATACCCTGTCATCACTGTCACCACCACCAAGACCTTCGCCAGCTGTGTTTCCCGGACTTTGGACTTTATAGCCTCTAACACTGTAAGCAATGTTTCATTTTCTTTATAAATCACCCAATTTCAAGTATTTTGTTGTAAACAACAGAAGTGGATTAAAACAACAACAGATACCTCATCTTGGACTGGCATTCATCCATTTACTCTGCATTCCTTTGGGAACAGTCACTTGACCAGATCTAATCCACATATCCAGGATTTAGTTTTTCATCTTGTCCATAGCTTTATGATGAGAGGTTTTATCTAAGTGTCTGGTGTTATACTATGTCAATGACATTTTTCTGATAAATCCTATTAATATTCTCCATCAAAGAAGGAAGAGACTAGTCTTCCTTTTTGTTCCAAGTTATTCTTAATAAATCCATACTAACTCCCACTAATTATCTTTTCCTTGGTGTGTAAAATCCATTCCAGTTACCCTCCCACATCGTGCAGTACTTTGACTTCTTCAGATACACACACAAAGAAAGTTGATGTGATGATAACCCTACAATGCAAAAGGGAGATCTCAGCAAAATCACCACAGTAGGGTCTGAAGTTATTTTAGCTATAATTAGTTGAGTTTTAAAAACAATTTACTTTAAAAAAAAAATTGAAGTGAGTTATTCACCAAAGCTGTAAATACTACCTAAGCACCCCCAAGGTTGTCAAAACAAGAGGACAATTTGTTAGCTGTAATTATGTAGTATGCTTCTTGAAATTTTTTGCTTGAGTTCTTAGCCTGTTAAATGCAGGTTAACAGAGGTGTGCATCAATCTTACCTCCAGTCAGGGGGTCACAACTGCCCAACTGGCCATTGCTGTTACAATTGCATGGTTGGCAGCTACCTCCAAATTTCTGCGGATTCCCGAAATATCCTGGTGCACACCTACACAAAATATAAGAAAGAGGAGGAACACCAAATAATTCATCATTTATCCCACCCAGTTTTCTTAACCTCTAGCTCCCCCATTTGGGATACTGTAACCTTGTGGGAGGAAAGCTGACATAGATTTGCAAGAATGAATGTTTCTCAATACAGAGATATTAACCCCTTGAATGAGATCAGGGAGAGTAGGAGGCAGGCAAGGATTGCTCATTTCTTCTTTTCCTGCTCCCTGGACTATCAAGTTCTCAAATACCCCCATAGCTGAATGGCAGATGAACAAAATGTACACGGGAGCAAAGGGTTTGACTAATCAAAATTGGGAAATCAGGGGTGGCTGAATATATATAAGTTATGTTTCTGAAGAATCACACAATTAAATATAGCTTAATTTAAGGCTAATTTTCTCACAGAAAAAAATTTAAAATAACAGTCTATAACTTCAAATTTCTGCATGTAGGAGGACTTTCTTATATTATTATAGTATTCAACACTTACCCCACAGATAAGTAATCAATTATGTTTCCAAAAAAATGCCCAACCTGATTATTAATCATGAAAATGAAAATTAAAACCACAATGAGAGATCATTTTTAACTCACCACAGTGGGGGAAAAAGTTTGTTAATGTCTTGTGTTGATGAGAATGAGGATGAGCCAGATCACTTACCCAGTACTTCTCATGTGTGTGAATTGATATGAGCATTTCAAAAACAACCTGGCATTATCTGTATACTCTTTTTTGCTTCTGACTTTGCATATTTTTCATAAATTAAGGAAAACAAAAAAATATTCCTATCGTACTATTCTAAGTCTGCCTAATTCATTTGCACTAATTACTACAGTGTTGTATATAACAAGCTTAAACAACTGGCCTAGGGCCTTTATTTTTCTAGATAATTTGGTGATGAGAACCAGTTCCTGACTTACAAGTTTAAAGATCATATTTCTTTTATTCTTAGATTCTGTTTATAAAAAAGTAAAACACACATGCTAGTGTTTCTGGAGTTGGACGTAAATTAAAATGTTTCCATTAGCAAAGTTCCACTCCCCATCCAATCAATCCCGAATTGTCATTAAATTAATGTACAGTGTCTTATCATCAATGGAACTGATAGAATCAAGGAAATATGGTATTAAACTTTTTCCAAAATTTAAGCTTTGCATCAAAAAAACTGTTTGGCAATTTTTCAATGTACTGCACTGATGGATACACTGGTGATATAATGCAAAGGATCAGGAAGAACTGGCTGGATCCCTGACTCCACCACTTACTAGTGTGGTCTTGGGCTTAACCCTTTGAGCTTAAGTTCCATGAAAACATGGATTATTATTTTTATTTTTTGCTGTTTTGCTCACTGATACATCTCTAGCACCTGGGATGGTGCCTGGCACACAGGTATTTGTTGAATGAATGAGTGAACTATTGGACTAATAATACCTATTTTGGTCAATAGAGATAAGAGATAATGTAAAGAATCTGGCACCATACCTGTACATTACAGACATTCAAGGAAAGGTAGCTATTATTATAAGACATGATGAAATATTCATTTTATAGTTGGTATCAGTTGGGATGATTACATTTCAAAAAGTAGATAGGAAGCTGTATTTCCCAATTATCAAGAAAAAAAGTAGATAGGAATTGTATTCCCCAATTATTAAGAAGGTAACTAGGCTGAGGTGGCTTATCTAAGTCTAGTAAGGAGGGTGGTAATGTACTAACAACAAGGCTTTACTTTATGACTGGCCAGCCCCATATTCTACCTAACAAATGACGCTATGCAGAAGATCAATATTCTAAAATACTTTATTTTTAGGTGTCTAAACTTTACGTGTAAAAGATGCATAATTACAAACCTTATATTATATTACTTATAAAGTCACATAAATATTCAGGAAATTGGATTCCACTTCTTCCTTACTCTTGCAAAGTACTAGTTACTGATTACAAGAAATAATCAGTTCTGTTATTCTCATTTTATGGTAGCAGCTAAACACAGAGGACTGAAGTGAAGCTTTCTGAGTTCACAGATGACATTGTTACAACAAATAAAGAGCAGGGAAAGTGTCTGTCACCTGTGACTCTGTGTGGATGAGGGAGGAAAAGGCAGTAAGAGCCCAGAGGGCTTTCCTAGCCCCCTCCCCAGTTGGCTGCTTGCTCCCCTACCCAAACAGATTCCTGTAAACATTCCTACTTGTCATCCTCTTCTGTGCTTGTGTTTATCATTGCGAAGTTCATGACTAGTGCCAGGAATGATGCCTGGTGCCCAATCCATGTTTAACAAATGAAAACTATTGACACCAAAATGGCATTTACCTGCAAAAAAAGTTTAAAAAATTTTGAAGACAATAGCTTGCCTTCTTGAGACCTCAAATGTAACAAACACAAGCTGAGAGAACTGTTAAAAATTAAAAATTTTTCTTCACATCAGCTGCCTGCCAAATGGATGTCTCATTGAGCCCAGTTGCTGTTTTCTGCTTCACTGTTTGTCAGCACCACACTCTCCCGAGTCTGCTTCACTGTTTGTGAAAAACCATCTGGAGTATTAAATTAGGAAGCCTCTCCCAGGTGTGAGTCCAATAGCTTTTAAATCAGAACCTGGAATCCCTTCCCAGCCACTAGCCGCCAGCCCCAGCCCACCTATCCTTCTAGTCTCCTGTAGCTGCCCCTTCCTCCCCCACCCTTCAAGGCTCGTTGGACGCCCTCCTATTGACTTAGCCCAGTTGTCTTATCTCTCGCTTTTTTAATGGCTTGTTTTTGTGTCTGTCCACCACTGGACTGCAAAGCTCTTGAGGACAGAGTCTGTGCTCTGTTTGTTAATGTGTCTCCAGAACTTAGCATAATGCCAGGCATATACTAGGATCTCCATACATTTTTCATTGAGAGAAAGAATTAATAAATGTGAAGCAAGTGTGGGAAAGGTTCCTTTTGCTAAAATGGAAAATAGAAGAATGTTAAATCACTCCCTTTTACTATAGGACAATGTCCAGACTCAGCTGCTGCCCTGTGTGCCCATAATAAGGCAGTCCCACCTTCCCCATGTGGCAGGTGTCCTCCAGCCTCTTGGGCTTTCTGGTGTTGCTTCCCCAACCTGACCACCTGCCACTCCCACCTCCCAGCTGCACTGGTTCGAGTCGTCCCTCAGACCTACTGAAGTCCTCCCTTGTCCATATACTTTTCAGATAAATCCTAGTCTAGAGTGGTCATGCCTTACTGTGAAATCTGGTTGAATTAATTTTCTGTTCTTTTAAAGTTTGGTCAAACTCTTTTAAAGTTAATTCACAAAAAAAATGTACGAGAATGATCAAGGAAAAAATTTTATATAAGGGTTCCCAGGGGAGCCTTATTCAACCAAATATTCAAAGGTATTTTATATTTTCAGAAATGATACAGAAGTGATAATGGGACACAAACCAAATAAAATGGACAGAAACAAATCCAAGTGTATACAGAAATTTTGCATACACACATTTAGCTTTAGTGAATTCAACTAAATGTACTTGGTAAAAGAGAGAGAACAGGAACATATAAGAGCATGAGATTGAGAGAGAGAAGCAGCTGGAACATCTGTCCCCATTTCACTCAACCAGTTCCCATCCTGGGGTGAATGTGACATGAGGGATATGAATCCCCCAGCTGGTCTAATTTCTTGTCCCTCTGCTAGAGTGAACATCTCACACTGAGCCTGGTTCTGGAGTGTAACCAAACACACAGGTACTTCCTGCAACACAACTCCTGGATTACTGAGAGATAGATGGGGTGTTGGGATATTTAAGGTTATTTGAACTCTTATCAACTTTTGCCTTACATGTTGACCTTTAATCTATCTGCCATGTGATTATGCAAAACCACCAAGGAGGTTAGGTTCTGAACTTTCACCAAAATAAAGATTTGAATGTGAGGAATAAAACCATAAAAGTACTAAAAGAAAATATGCATAAACATTTATATGACCTCTCTAAGCATGATACCAATGGCTGAAACTCCAAAGGATAAAACAATAGACACAACTACTACATAGTAAAACTTAACTACTGCATATCTAGAATTGACAAAACCAAAACCCAAACCATACAAGCAAAAAACAAAGAATATTTGCAACATATATTATAAAGGGTTAATTTCCTCTAAAAGAATTTTGTACATACCAATGAATACATAAAAGAACACTAAAAAAAAGAGAACATTCCAATAGAAAACATGGGTAAAAGACCTAGAAAGGAATTTTATTTATTTATTTATCTATCTATCTATCTATTTATTTATTTATCTATCTATCTATTTATTTCTAGAGAGGAATTTTGAAAATAAGATTTAAAAAATGGCCAATAGCACATGAAAAAAATATCTAGGGATATCTAGTTATATTTGTGTACAGGTAAATAGGGATAAGTTGGGGGAGGGTAGAGGTATATAGAGATGTGTCTGTGGGGTAGGAGTATGTATAGATATTTGTCAGTGGATGGGTATGTAAGAATGTATGGAGGAGGTATACCAAAGGCTGTGTGTGTGAGGGGTTAGGGGTACCTAGGGATATATGGAGGGTGAGGGGTATGTAGAAATGTGTATGGGGGTTGGGGTACACAGGGGTGTGTTTGCGGTATGCAGGGCTACGTGTGTGTATGTGTTGTGCCTCATTGTCAGATTTCTGAAACATGTACAAAGCAAGAAAGAGAAGGATGTTAATGATTTATTAAGTGAGCAGTCTTGTATTTTTCCCAGGAGATCTTTTTCCAGCCCTCAGTGAAACTAACAGCCCCACCCCTAGCTCTGAGCCACCACCCAGCAATGCCCCACCCACAGCCGCTGTCCGCAGCAGCTGCTGGCAGAGCCTCCCCACCCCCACCTGCGGGCTGGGGGGAAGAGTTGGGGGGACAGAGGGGAGCAGCACCCACCTTTCACACTGTGTTCCCGTGTATCCAGGTTTGCAGGAGCACCTCACGTTTTCCCCATTTCCAACACAGCCAGTGGCAAAACTTAAGGAAGACAGAAAAAGGCTCCAGTAAAAACATGCATCCACAGGCTTTACGCTCATTTTTTTTTTTTTTTTTTTTTTTTACTACAAAGGACCAACTTGCATTGAGTGAAAATTGAAGCCCAGGATCTGGCTACTTTTTGTAAGAAGAAAATTTTGCCCATCAGGATGTGTAAAGATAATGATGAATTATTTCAGCTGACATTGAGCAAATTGTGATGAATAAGGACTGAAGGCATTTATTTTATTTTTGGCTTGGAGAAATGCATTCCTTCCCTTTAGACAGAGCAAAGTAACTCTTTGGAAGAGATGATTACGACAGCATTTTTCCAGGAGTAACAAAGAAGGAATAAAACAAGTCTAGGCAGAAAAAAGAACAGAGAGTTCTGACTCTTTCTTAAAATTTTCTCCCTGTTTATTCTAGTTCTTTTATATTGGGCACATTGCCTTCTGGGAAGAAAAGCTGGTGGGAGCCCCAGAAAGGAGCACGGAGCATTCCCCCCCACCCCGCACCCCCCCTTGCCTTGGAACTTCTGTGGTTAGTTATGGGCAATTTTCACATGTTTTTCAAACCAAGTTGTGGATTTTTGATCCCTTTTCTTTCAGCTCTACACTGATGTATTTTTGAGAAGGGGGTTTTGTTTTGTTTTGTGTTTTAAACAAAGAGACCGTGAAAAAGCCCTGTTGCCATGTGAAGGGTCTGTGTCTGCCCATTGAACATTACACTGATGTAAATCTGAGGGGAAATCACTCTATTTCTCATTTGCTAGTAAGAAAATTCTTATTTGGGAAACCTCTCTTGGCCTATTAGATGGATACAGAGTCAATGTCTGTAAAGGGACAGTTAGAAATCTGTCAGCAGTATTAATATTGCAGAAGGAGAATTAGATAAATTTACACAGCTTTACTGATAGATCTGAGGAGCTAAGTGTTACTTCAGCTGCATGGAAGCTGGAAGACGACGTTGATGATAACAACAGGCTTTGCAACCAAAAATGAAAAGCTCTTTCCAGGCACCCCAGTGGAAGTCTTGCTGCTTTCTACTCTCGCCAGCTTCTGTTCAAACAAGTCTGGGCAAGTGTCAAGCGACAGATCCCTTTGCAATTAAAGCTGCAGGATGGGGCAGGCTTAACGTTATCAAGTACAGAGAATAAAAACTGGGCTAGCATTTCAAATGCATATCTCCAGAAATGCCACACTTGGGTGATGTTCTGGCGATGTTAAGACTTGGCCAGTTTTCCTGATACTGGACTGATATCAGTCTGTCTTTGCAGTCCATACTTGTTTCTGAGCCTGTGTACTACGGGTGCTGTATCAGTATCTTCTTGATTTTCAAACCAACACTTGCTTCACTTATTTGTTTTGTTTTGCTTGGACCCCATGATGCACACATTATGATGAGCAAGACTAGGACCAGGTGTCAACCCCAAACAGAACACAGGATACCATGAAAACAAAATGGTGGCTTTCTACCTACTGGCCACGCTGGAGCCTGCGTGCAGCTCAGATCATGTCATTCAGTGGCTCAGAGCTGTCCCAAGCCTTCCCATCACACTGAGGAGAAAATACAGATGCTTGACTAGAGGCTGCAAGCTTCCACGGGGCCTGAGCCCAGGCTGCCCTGCCAGCCTTCTCTCCAGCCCTCTTTACTACCCTGCACTTCAGTCACTCCTGCCTTCCTACTGTCCGTGAACACGTTTTCACAGGGGCTTTCCCTTCTCTTTTCACTAAGATATTGCCCAGGCTTATTCTACCCCATCATTCAGCGCAATGACTCCAGGCCACTTTCTCTAAAAACAGCCACTCACTATCAATCATAAAACCCTACTGCAGAAAATGTCACTTCTGAGATCATACTTCTTATCTGTGTATGTATTTATTGAGTGTGACGGCCTCTCCCACCTTCTCTCCCTCCCCAGCCCACTCCAGGTAAAGTCCCGTGACATCAGAGCTCTGTCAATCTTCTCCTTCACTTCAATTTCCCCGGCAGAGTGGGGGCCGAGGCCCAGCACTGTATTGGTGCTCGAGATGTAATTGTTTAGCCACCGAATAAACAACTAAAGTAAGGAGGAAAAGGAAAAGCCTGCAAGAATACGATGTGGAGGCACTGCTTCCGTCGGTGAGTTTTGTTTTTGTTTTTCTTGCACATTGTGTTTGTTCATTCTTTTAACAGACCAACTTTATTAAGATATAATTCACCCATGTAAAGTACGCAATTCTATGGCTTTTAGTGTATTTACAGATTGTACAACCATCAGTACGATCAATTTGAGAACATTTTCATCATCTCAAAAAGAAATGCCATAACCCTTTAGCAAACACTTCCCCTTTCCCTGCTTCTTCCCCTACCCCAGTGCTAGGCAACCACCAAACTACTCCATCTCTGTAGGTTATTTCCAAGCTTTCCCAGTACCTGTTGGTATGAGGACACGGGCAGACCCTACAGGATCCATGGACAGCATCCCGATAGTGACCCTCTTTGCAGCGCTCGCAGTGTTCCCCAGCAGTGTTATGCTGACAGTTCTTGGGACAGATGAACAGGACAATAAATAGCAGCCTGTTACATTTATGACTTTTGAGATCATTGTAAACTAACTTAATGGTGATATCAGTTCTACTAACAATATATTTTTCCTGTCTATCTAATCATCTTTGATGCCCTTTCATCAGTTATTTGGAGGCATGATGTAGTGGGGACAGACCAGCTGGGTTCAAATCCCACTCTAGCATCTCATAGCTGTGCAACCCTGGGGCAAGTTCCTTCACCTCTCTGTGCTTAATTGTTTTTCGTATCAATTTTTACTGACATATGATTTACATACAATTGCAGTTTTCCTAAAATATACAGTTAGAATGATGCCCACTTTCCAAGGCTGTTGGGAGGATTTTAAAAAGTACAGGCCCTCAAGAAATATAGATTTTTTTCCCCCTCTTCTCTTTAGAATTGATTTTATGAAAATTATCTTCATTTTACTTCATAATTCACTTAATGATATACTCTAGAACAATTAAATTGAAATAAGTTAACACGGAATTTGTAGCAACAATACAAAGTTGCATAGTATTTGAAGATAACACTCAACTTATATTGCAAAGAATCAAGAAATTAATTTTTATCTAAGCTTTTTATTTATGTAAATCAATTATCTTCATGTCAATGTCAATGTCTAATGATAATTTTTCTTCAGTAAAGAGTTGAGATGATACAACTTTGCAACTGAGGAGTCTATTTAGACAAAGCCTAATGGATTGTGTTGAATTTGTTTATTTTGTGGAATTTTTTAGCCCAAGATAACCTTTCTTGGCTTTATCCTAGTAATAAAGATCTATATGCACAAAAACATCCAGGAAAACTCCCCTTGCTGTGGGCATTTGATAATTCAGAGATATTTTGTATTAATTATATGGCCTGGCATAAGTAAAATTTAAAATTGTTGCTTAGGGGCCGGCCTGTGGCTCACTCGGGAGGGTGCGGTGCTGATAACACCAAGGCCCTGGGTTCGGATCCCCATATAGGGATGGCCGGTTCGCTCACGGGCTGAGCGTGGTGCTGACAACACCAAGTCAAGGGTTAAGATCCCCTTACCGGTCATCTTTTAAAAAAATATATATATATATAAATAAATAAATAAATAAATAAAATTGTTGCTTATATATTTTACCTCTGTATGCAGAGGTGGTACTTGGGTAGAAAACTTTATTGTTTATTGTAAATAATATCTAAAGCTAGGTTGGGAAAAACAATATCCACGTATATCACAAGAGGACACAGCTTGTTCGCAATGGACAAGACTGCCCTTCAATCATAGATGTCATCAGTCTGTCCAGATTAAACAAATCCATCCTTCATAAATCATTGAATAACCGAGAATCATACAAAACACCAAGATGTTAAGGATTCTTTTTATGCTTTTTGGTGTAAAATTGTGCTATAAACACAAGGGATTAATATGCATTTCAGAAAAGGAGGATGCTGCTCACATGCTCTGATTTGATCATTCCCAGAAAGCTCACCCTGTCCAGAATCTCACTGCAGTGTGGGTTTTTCCTTTAGGTTCGGACACTGGGAAGGAATCCACCTGAAGGCTTTTCAGCTCCCCGGGAGGTGGGGGGCGGTCCTCTCAGGGTCAGACGAGGGCACCAGCGGCTTCCCTCGTCTTTACCTTACTCAGTCGCCCCAACTCTCCCCTGAAAACATCCATTCTTTGGAATGAATTATTTACCTTTCCACTTTTGTTTTCTTTCTTTATCAATCTGAATGTCAACTTTGAAGAACATGACTGGATAGATATGTCTACTTAGCTCTGAGGCTGAAAGTACTAGAGAACATGGTAAAACAAGAATTGTGGTGAGGACATCTGCATCCTACTAAAAACATTCGGAATGCAGTCCTACCCAGGGTGAGGGGAGAGGATCGTGGAAGGGGGTCAGAACCTGTGTTGCTTGATAAAGTCCCATAAGAATGTCTCAGTTGCAGGCAGCTACATTGGAAGCTGTCTTCATCAGTCTGCAAACCTGAGGCATCTGCCTATCAAGTCTCCTTATGTTTACTGTGAATGAATGAATGAATGAATGAATAAATGCCACAGGAGCCCACATCCACTCCCATAGCACATGCTCTCCCATCTCCACTTGACAGCAAACGTGTATTGGGCATTTTCTTTATGCCCAGCTATGCTAGGTCCTAGGGATGCACAGACGGGCTGGTACCTTGACTCAGGGATAGGTTTGACCCTGTAAATAGATATATTCAACATAATGTGAAAGATATGATGACAGTGGTGTGCCAAGATCCCACGAGAGCAAGACCAGGGGCAGCTGGCCCTTCTGGAGCCTCAGGGAAGGCCTCCTGGAGGTGCCCACATAGAGGATGTAGGAGGGGACTAGCCGGGTAGAGAAATGAGGGAAGGACATTCCAGGCACAGGGAACAGAGCACACAGAACCTCAGTCTTGCGATAGGGTGGCAGCCTGTGAAGGGATGAGAAGAAGTGGGTGTATCAGAGGCTGAAGTGCAGGGGGTTGGGACGCAGTGAGAGAGAGCCCCTAAGGCTGCACAGAGGGTCCCGGGCTTCCTCCCATGCTTGAGCCTCAGGGGAGCAGCGAGGTGGCTGTGAATTTCAGATAAACCATCTGGGGGCAGAGGGGAAGAGGGGCTCATGTGGCAGGGAATAAAAAGAAGGAAACTAAAGAAAGAAGATGGGAAGAGAAAAGGGACATGGGAACAGAGAGGAAGATAAGGCAGGGGCGACAGAGACAGTAGAGGCAAGGGGACTTGGGAGAAGAGGAGAAAATAAGTGTAGAAGAGGGAGAGGCAGGGGCTCTGCAGAGAGAAGGGGGCCCGTTGTCACTGCAGGCCCCTTGGGCCTGCTCCTGCCCTTGCAATGTCTCAATCAACAGTGCAAACACCATTAACAAAAGGAGAAAGAGATGGGAACCACTCATTACACGCAAAAAATTCATTGCTCAAAAGAGATTACTGAACTTCAACGTTCTTTGTGCTCATTTAAAAAAAACTATTAAAACAGCAATTCAAAAGGACAAACAAGTCAAAACTAATATTTTATTAATTCAAATCAAGATTCAAAACCAACTAAGACTACACAACTTAAAAATAATTCATCTCCAACCTAGAAAAGTGTAATTTGCCAACATATAATGAATAGGCAGGAGCCTACTACTGGGTGCATAATCAAATTTTTTTTACACACAAATTATTCGGAGTTATAGAGGTCCTTCCAATGATTAGACTATCATTTTTAAAAAAATGGATGCCAAAAATCCCTATTAGAAAGTCAATGTATTCACAGAACTGGACACTAAATGACATAGTGAACATTTAAAGCTGAATCTCCTTGCCCACCAAATATTTTGCTAAAACTGTTATTAAGCACGTAAATTAACCTAAAAGGTCAACTCTTTTTTTTTTTTGTTTTTTTTCGTGTCCGGCAATGGATCGCAACCCTCAGTGTCGCGCCCGCACCTCACTCAGCCAGTGAGCGGGAACCGGTCTGTATGTGGGATCCGAACCCTCAGTGGGAGCGCCACCGCGCTCCCAAGCGGCGCACTGTAGCAGTGCGCCACCGGGCCGGCCCGAGGTCGGCTTTTCTTTTCAAACTTCAAAGTTTATTCATGAAATGATGTGGAGAGTTGCACACGTGTGATGATCCCCGATTTTAGAAGTTTCCTTTGGACCTTGAGAGGTGGGGGTTGTCGATTTGCAGTGGAATTGGCCTGAAAGCCCACTTGATGTTCAAAGGCATTGACATCCTTATTACGGTGCTTTATAAATGAGAGCTGCAGCCTTGGCGTCCCACAACGGACACATTTCCCAGAGGCAGAAGCACTTGCCACCGAGCAGTTCAATGAGCACAGACCCCATGTGTGCATGTGTGTGTGTGTGTGTGTGTACGTGAGTGTGCATGCGCATGTGTAGACAGCAAGCCCTTTGAGAGTAGGGATCATGTCTGATGATTTTAAGCCCAGCGCTTAGCTTGGGACCTGCCACAACAGCAAATGCTCAGTAAGGATTTCCTGAATGAATAGTCTGTAGCGGCCACGTGGCCATTAGGGACAAATGAAGACAGAACTACAAAAAAGGAAATGGGAAGGAAAATCTTGTCTGATTAAACTACGAATTATGACTTTCACAAGTTATCCTTTCACTGGGTGAATGAACTACAGAGAAAGCTCCCTTTGTTCTTTGGTGTCCTTTTGTAAGGTGGACTTAACATTTGGCAATGCTTCAGTGATAAGATAAATATTTAATTAAAGCATCTACCTGTGTTACACACAGTATGCAGTATCAAACATAAACTATGATATAAAGGAATACTNACGTGAGTGTGCATGCGCATGTGTAGACAGCAAGCCCTTTGAGAGTAGGGATCACGTCTGATGATTTTAAGCCCAGCGCTTAGCTTGGGACCTGCCACAACAGCAAATGCTCAGTAAGGATTTCCTGAATGAATAGTCTGTAGCGGCCACGTGGCCATTAGGGACAAATGAAGACAGAACTACAAAAAAGGAAATGGGAAGGAAAATCTTGTCTGATTAAACTACGAATTATGACTTTCACAAGTTATCCTTTCACTGGGCGAATGAAGTACAGAGAAAGCTCCCTTTGTTCTTTGGTGTCCTTTTGTAAGGTGGACTTAACATTTGGCAATGCTTCAGTGATAAGATAAATATTTAATTAAAGCATCTACCTGTGTTACACACAGTATGCAGTATCAAACATAAACTATGATATAAAGGAATACTTATAAGCTGAAAAACAGTATTTCCCAATGTCTTTCATTCTTTTTGAACTTATAAGGTTACAATCCAACAAAATATCCTATCAAGCGGCTCGTTACAACAATTTCCTGTTCTGGCCTGTCCCATCTTGCAGAGGAAGCAGTTCCCTAGGACACACTGAACTAGCTTAATACAGCCTAGGAACTCAAATAGCTGAAACATGCCCTAGTTGCGTTACACAACGCAAAGGAAATCCATGCCAAGGGAGTGTGTTTCCAAAGAAGCACCACGCAGCCAGGGCTCTGTGTGTCCTGTGGGTGCTGCTGCTCTCTCCTTCCCTTGGAACTATCCATCTTCCTATCTGAGAAGCCCCCCACCAGCTACCAGGGAGAAGACCTCTGCTGAAAGGGATGAAAAAAGTCAAATAAAAAAAGTTCTGCTCTAGGATGCAAAAGAAAAAGTTCCTAAGAAACTAATTTTGTGTGAGACAATTTTATAAAATATTCCCAAATAAGATCACTTTCCAGTGGATAAGCTGTAGACATCAGGGACTGCCTTGAGGCCATTGGAATGGGGTGGGGAGAGTCAGTACAGGGCACCTGCAGCCCGAGGACACTAGGTTGGAGGGAAGGAGAGGCAGTGCTTTCTTTCCCGCACACCCTCCTCTCACCTGTCTTCCCCTAACCCTGCCTTGGCAGTCGTGAAGAGTTGGTGCTTGACTGAGTAAGTCTGAGCCGTAAGCCCTTCTCTGCATCCCCTTCTCCTGTTTGCTTTCCTGAGTTAATGCTCATCTGACAGGAACAAGTCCCACATCCTGCCACCCCCTGCCATCCCAGCAGAACTGGGGCCCAAATTCAATTGCTCTGATTTATGATTCTGGCAAGAGTTAAGTCCCACCATCTACCTATTAGTATCATTTAATGATGCAGAGATTTAGTAGCTTAGGTGTAATTTAATTGTTCAGACAGGTGTTCTCCTCTGATGGTGCACGTTAAAATGGAGGAAAACATGAAATGTAAAATAATTCAGCCTGATAACTTTGGAGCCTCCTACATGTTACACAGCAACTTCTGTTGAGGGTTTGTTAGGAGATGTGACCTTGACATCTCAGGGCCTAGTACGGGAAATGGGAAGAAACAGATTGCTGCTGACAGCATTAGAGTATCAATTTACTCACAATACATATTCCTGAACCATCCTGGCATCGGTTTGAATGTCCATTGCAATGGCAGGGAACACACCGTCCAGTATATAAGTCTTTGTTGTCCCGATAGTATCCAGGGCTACAACCCTATTTTTCAAAAAAAGTGATTAATCAATACAAAGAAAGAAAACAATGGCTATTCACAGCAAGTGACAATTCTTTTTTTTTTTTTTTCCTTTTTGTCTTTTTTCGTGACCGGCAACGGATCGCAACCCTCAGTGTCACGCCCGTACCGGACCGGGACCGGCAACAGGATAGCAACCCTTGGTGTTGCGCCCACACCTCGCTCAGCCAGTGAGTGGCCAGTCTGTATGTGGGATCCGAACCCTCGGCGGGAGCGCCATCACGCTCCCAAGCGGCGCACTGTAGCAGTGTGCCACTGGGCCGGCCCGCAAGTGACAATTCTGACTATGAAGTATTCACTTTTTTAACCTTCTTTCCTTCAGTCAGTATGTGGATTTCTAATTTCAACTGCCAGCCAGATCCACTTGCTTTTTGTTAGGTTCTATTTCTTTCCCTGTCATGGTGGGAGCGTGAGACAGATGGCGGTGAATCAGAGAGACGGTAAGTGTGCAGTGGAGGGTGGGTGTGGACTCCTGTCCTCACACCGGTTGTTTTCAGGGTAGATGGAGAGGTGGAGGGGTGGATGCGTAAACAGGATCAGAACCCCAGTCATTAGGGTAGAGAACATCTACTATGGGTCAAATGTGTCCTCCAAAAGTTCACATATTGGAAACTAAATACCCATTATAACAGTGGTAAGAGGGTGGGAAATCCAATTATGTTATTTGAAAGGGGGGCCTTTAAGAGGTGATCAGATTGTGAGGACTGTGCCCTACTGAACGGATTGATCCGTTCATGGAGTAATAGATTAATGATTAAATGGGTGGTCATGGGCACAGTTCTGATGGCTTTATAAGGAGAGCAAGTGAGCAGGTTAGCTCTCTCTTGCTCAACTCATTCTTACCATGTGAGACCCTGGTCACCACGGGACCCTGTACAGAGTTCCTACTAAGAAGAAGGCCCTCACCAGATGTGTTCTCTGGGCCTTGGACTTCCCAGTCTCTAACACTGTAAAAAATAAATTTTAATTCTTCATAAATTACCCAGTATTCTGTTATAAGCAACAGAAATGGACTAACACCTAAGCAACTAATTTCAAGTTCAAGATCTCTTTGGGTAGCTGCTACCTCTCCAAGTGGGAGTTGGGGCTGGTGGAGGGAGCAGTATAGGACAAAGAGGGGATAAGGAGTCTTAATTGGGGTCTACACAATAATGGCACAATCGGTGGAATCACTTTACTGTCACTCACTAGTATATGTGGGCAAAGGGAAGCTAGGGGAGGGGAGGGCTCAAGCTCCCACACAGGACTATTCATGAATGTCCACAGTAAACATGCAGACACCCAGCTTGAGGCGGTTCCCCTATGTTTGGTCTTTTCTTGTTCAGTATGGCTTTGATTATTTCTATCTTCAGTTTATTGTCTCTTTCCAGTATAATACAAGTTCTTATTTTTCATCTGGATGAAAAGAATTATAATTTTCTTTTCATGAACTGATACCTTTTTAAAAGGATTCTTGTTAAGAGTGCCTCCAATAGAAAAAAAAGTGATTATTCTTATACAGCTATTAAAAATTACTTAGGTTTCTGTCCTTAAAGAGAACTATAGAGGAGCCGAGGGCAGCCCCTTCCTCCTGGAAGCAGGCAAGAAACAGAGCATGCCTGAGGTCCTAGGCAGGAGTCAAGGGCAGCATCCCCCACCCAGAAGCAGGCAAGTAGCATGCTGAAAACACTACTTTTGTGCAGGAGGCCCACCACAACCACCACAACCACCACCATGGCTGCTGCAGAAGCAACTTGATGCCACAGCAGTAGCCACAGCTGCTGTGCAAGCAGCCCGCCAGACACTAGACTACACTGATACAAGAAGAGTCACCAGTGGAGACCAGAAAAAGAATAGGAAGTCTCTTTCCTCAAAGCCCACTCCAGAGTAACAGAAGAAGCAACTGCTCTACTAAATGACCAGATATCAATGTAGAGATACTAGAAATACAAAAATCTAGGAAAATATGACACCACCAAAAGAATACAGTAATTCTCAAATACCAGACCCTATAG